ATTTTAGTTGTAAGTACTCTGAAATGTATATATTTTTTTCAAAATTTATATTTATTTCAGAATCTTTGGTAAGTCTATGTATTTGTACATTACGCAATAACGTGGAAAAATTCTTGCCTATGCTCTCTCGTACATCGTGTATACATATTGCATAAATACGGATCACTCCAAAGTATCGCGCGTATACATATATACACAGAGAGAGAGAGAGAGAGAGAGAGAGACGCGCNATATTTTTTTCAAAATTTATATTTATTTCAGAATCTTTGGTAAGTCTATGTAACATAAAATACAGATGTCACTGTAATTGTATAAGTGCGACGATTGTAATGTCCATAACAATTGTATACGAATTTGTAGCGAAATTTGTTTCTACATGCATAAGCAACTGTTGTCGTAATAAAAAATATGTACAGCACCGAACTATTTCATGTACCATGTAGCCATTTTACTTCGAAATCGCTTTTTCATTCATTTTTTCCATACCTTGTCTGTGAAATTTACCTTTTTATATATGTACATATATAATATACGATTGAATAATAAATTCAGGTTTTGTTTGTCATCATTGTAATTTTCAATGCATTTCTGTTTCATTTCTTCCCTTGTATTATTTTTTACACGCAACATTAATCACTCGGACAATCACCAGATCCAATTGTGCCCAATGTAATTTTTTTTTTTTTCGAAAGAGTGTGTGTTTAAACCATTAGGAAAAAAAAAAAAAAAAAAAAAAAAAAAAAAAAAAAATACGTGTTGCCACAGGATAATTAACAAACCACGTTCTCGCGATCAGCCACATTACGTAAAGTAAAGTATCTCTGTGAGTTTTATTGAGAAAAAAAATGGAATGAAAAAAAGAAATCCGATCAATAATAGCGTAAAACAGCCCGCATTTCTCTCTCCCCTCTTTTTTGGCTTGCAAGCTCCTGACGCGCAGCAAAAAAAAAAAAAGGTCCAAGGCCACGATCCTTCCGAGCTTCATCAACCAAATATCTCGCAAGTACCCGTGGCCAAACGCACCGTGACGAATGTAGGTCAAGTTCTTCGGTATACACTCGTCCTTGCCCAGACCATCCTCAACCCATTGTCTGCAATATAGTCACGCGTGCGCAGAAGCTTATACTCATAAATCATTGTGCAATTTTTCTATCGCTTGCCAAAACGCGTGTGTAGATGCGCGCGTGTCGAATCAAGGTCGCGACTCGATGCACAGTCTGACCAATCGCGAGGAGGGACGCGATTCATTTATGCACTTTGTTGTGCAACTTTTGGCCTTCCGTTGCGCGCGTTTGAATTGCAAACATTTTTCTTTTTTTCTTTTTCGGAAGCTCCCTCGCTCGGATGTTTTTTTTTTTTTTTCCCCCTCAACTTTTCCGGTGATACAAATACCCCTTTTGCGAGAGCTGATTCCGGGCCGAGGAAATATCAACCGTGTGTGCACGTTCCCACGCGCACTCGTTGCGGCGAACCAGCGCATCGCGCAACAACACCCGTACCCTCGACTTATGCGGTTGTTTTAATGTATTGCAACGCGCCGTGATCTGCCTACATATTATATACTATACCTACGTAGCTATACCTATTAATTCACTCGCACGTAAATGGAACGACGACGATGCAATTGTACACGCTTTCGATTGAATTCGCCTCCTTTTTTTTTTGCTCCGCTGTTCATTTCCATATTTTTTTTTTTCACGGGATGCCGTCCGCGAACTCGTGAGATATTTAGCACGTCACGAGTAATTATTCAACGCTCCGGCAAATGGGGTATCGATCGCTGCGCGCGTTACGTTATAAACAATTTAAGCTTCACTTTTGAATGGAAGTTCAAAGTCGCGAGTTCTATGTTTACTGTTCTATATACTTGTATCGGTATATTATAGACAAAAGTGATAATGAAAGAGTCAAGTTAAAAGTACCCATTGGTACAACGCGAATGCAGCTGTAGTAACGCGCTGTGTTTCGGGTATAGCAAAAAAGCTCAAAAAAGCTCCTTTACACTTTACTCATTTACGAGCTTTCGGGAAATGCTCTCACAGTGGTGTTGCACATAGTACATTGCCTACCGAGTTTCAATTGTTCCAAAAAATCCCCACCAGTACCTAATTACGAAAAAAAAAAACAATCGCCAAACAGTTCAGATGAGAGGGGTGCGGCCGCTCTGCGGATACTCGTTTACACGCACACAGTATAGTGCTACTCGAACAATCCGACAAAAGATCATGATGGCAAACACCTCTACAGACATATATACGTGCATACATATTACAATGTATTTGAAAACATGAATTTCAATGAAAATAAAGCAAGTATAATAACGAGGACGTGCCTCTTGAAATCTCGAGCATGTTAATTGCCCTTCCCTATAAAAAACAACGGTGGAAAAAAAAAAACCTGCATCACTCCTCGTAATATCATCTCATCGCCTTGCACGTATCTATATGCAATCGCCAATTCACCATCCAGCACCAATGAGAGCGAGCAAGGTCGCCTACTCCTCTGCAGAAATATATATACGTGTGGGTTACGTATATCGCGCAACGATGCACGCCGGAGCCACACCGGAAACGATCGCTCTGGCCGAAACGCGTCTCTGCGTTGTTTTATCTATACTTACTCAATACACATGACAGCGTTGTATGATTTTTAACGACAACCGTTTCGGGTTTTTTTTTTTTTTTTTCATTTATTTCCGTTACCTCCAACCTGTATGGTATAGGTGTAACTGCATTGTCTTGTAGAATTCGTTTTCTTTCTTTCTTTAAATGCTTGCCGCGGAGGTAGAGAAAAACTTATATATACATCCGTCGCGCTTTCCTTTGCGTAAGATAATGGGACCGAAGGTATTGTACTTACTTGCTTGTTTTTCGCTTCCTCTCTTTTTCCGCTTCCGAAACCGTTCCTCCCCCTTTTTGTACATATATAATGTATACACACAAGTATCTACTGGTATTGTTTCGAGCGCGGTGTACCTATATATGTTTATACTTGTCTCCGTAACTACCACATAAACATACACGTAGGTACCAAGTCACGGTTACACCTACGCTTGTAAAAGTTTTAAAATTATTTCGTCAAATGAAGCCGTACATGATGTATAAGCATGAAAACGAGGTATAAAAGAAGAAGAAATCAATGGACGTGTGGCATTGGGTAACGACAGCGCCTCGGTCAGGAGAACCCGATTGATAAATCGCGTGCGTGTGCAGCCGCTTGATTTCGCCAATAAAGCTATGATATTTGCCTCTCCGCGAATGCACGGATACAAATATACCTATACACAACCGTGCCAGCGTTGGGCAAGCAAATAAATAGCTTTTTACCAGTAGGTATATAGTGAGATTCGTACAATAACCCTGACGAATATGTAGGTTCATGTACATACAGATGCAAAAGTACGCGAGGGTGTACACTTATAATGGGGAGATGTAGCTTGTTTGCCAAAAAAAAAAAAACCACGAGCTTGCAAGCACGTATCAATAGGTAAACATAATTATATAGGCGACCATCCGAAAATAGGAGAATAGGTATGTATGTGTAGGAAAAAGAAGTCCGCCAATAGCTTCTCGGCAGCTCTGCATTGAGAAAGTAATGGTTATACACAATCAACGCCGGGCATCCCTGAACTTGACGCGAACGCCCACTTGTCGCGCGCGCACGCGAGCTTGCGATCCGCGAGGCCGAGCGGCGAAAGCTCGAGCTCTCAGTCGGTTCGCGACGGGCGCTTTTATTCGACGACCTTCTCCGTTTCTTTTTTTTTTTTTTTTTTTTTTTTTTCCTTTTCCTTTTCATCCGAGTGGATCGTCTTTCACGAGGTAAGCGATACAGCGGTGCGTCGTTGGTATACCCCAGGTAGGTGACACTTGGTCTGCTCGCCCGTACACGTAAGTTGTTGACGGAAGTAGCTCCAGGGTTGTTTTAGTGGCAAGGCCGGTCGGACCTTTTGGGTGTAAAACAAGTTGGGCTTTGATTTTCCATACTTACTGTAGGCACAAAACAACACTGTCACTCGTGAAAACGATAAGTACATATATTTTTCATCCGAGTAGGTTTTTTTTTTCTCTCAAACAAAGGAAAAAAAAAAAGATTACCGGTACTCGAGTGACTCGGCAACATCGCTCACTTTGCATATCGTAACAAAAAAAAAAAGCGATACGTACGCAACGCGTTTCAATTGCCATCACGTTCCAACATTGATCTCGCATGTCATCTTTACAGAATAACGTACCTACATCTCTATTTCTAAATAATTCATCCACAAATTTGTACATTTATAAATGAAATATAAAAAGCTCCAATGCATTGCAGCTCGAGTTGAAAATAAAAAAGTGTATATACAACATACACACGTGTAAATGCATAAAGTGGTCAGGAGGCGCTCTTCCTTCGCCTCTTCTCGGCATCGAAGGTCGAAGACGACGGAGGAGAACCGAATAAGCCAAGAAAATACACGTACGCTTCCGCTGTTGCAGTCTGCAGTTGATGACGGAAGAAGCTCTGCGCCACGTGGACACGAGAAAGGGGGGTAGGGGGGGGCGACCGGCGTGTTGGCAGTGTGGTTAGCTGGTTGTGTGGCTTGTCGAAAAACACGACCGCTATCGGCACTGCGATTATGACGGTCGCCAGTCGACGCACCTCCGCCCCACCCATCCCCGACGATGCGACACTACAACGGCCGATTGGCCTTTCTACAGATACCGATTTTTCTACGATTAAAGGTTCCCCGTGCAACTTTTACTGTACAACTGATATACACATAATATTTCAATGTGCTTGTACATGCGTACTCTGCGACAATGACAACGATTAATAAATAGTTCATAGGAAGGAAGAATAGCCTCGCCATGGATTTTACTCCCCAGTCGTATTTGTATTATCGATCCTTGCTTATCCGATCCTTAATTAGGAAACAAACATAATATTTGCAAAATTTCACCATAATCGAGACATTTGTTTATTCTATACATGTAATAAATGTGTTCTCCTTTTGCTTGCAGATCGGCGTACGTGTCGTTCGGCGGCCTACTGATGCGGCTACAGGGCGACGCCAACAATCTGCACGGCTTCGAGATCGACCAGCACATGTACTTGCTCATGAAGAAACTCGCTTTTTAATCTAAAAAAAAAAAGAAAAAAAAAAAGAGATTTAGCATTTACCATTTGTACGATTCTTTTTTTATAAATTATTATTAAAAAAAAAAAAAAAGTCTGAAATAACATTACCTACTGATAATTTAATTGTTTATTTCTTTATTTGTATTAACCTGTGTGAACCCAAAAATTTTGAATCGTCATGGAATGAACGTTTAACGCACGCAGAGCCTCAAAGGATCCCATTTTATGTAGGACATTCTACAACAGCGTCGTTATCCTCTCGGCTGCAACAGCTCTGAACAAAACAAAGCTCTCGGAGCACATCATCATGATGTACACGCCTTCGCAAAAAGCGTTTTCTCGTCGGCCTTTCGTCATTATCGTCAGCTAAGAAGCGCGGAGGAGCAGAGCATCAGTGTAGGGGGGAAAAGAAAAAAAAAAAAAAACCACCTTTACATTCGTACAACTTGATGGCCGATCGCTTATATATACACAGGTAATAACGCAATAACACAAGCGCGTAAAGTGACGATTTACATAATGCACTGATTGCCGTGTGCTCGGTGTTTTATTCGTGTATATAAATGTATAGTGGCGAAGGAGGCACGTTTGAACAAACAACTGGAACAACAGCAAGTAAGTAAGTAAGGAGGTATGGGACTGAGGTATCGTCAGAAGTATTTAAACAATTTTTTTTTTAATGCCACGGGAACAAAAACATAAAGAATGGACGTGTAATTCTATGGGCAAACGGTGCAGTGTTCTCGGACAGAAGGTAACCAAGAGGTATATGGATGTCATCTTTGATGCATAAATAAGCTGTCGTCCTTACGTCAATTAAATCACAACGAAACCCATTACAGCCGATGAGCTCTTCTCCCCTTTGTTTTTATACACATATCGTATACGCTATCTTGGGTCGATTGACAAAGGAGCTTTGGCTCTCTACGTGGTCGTGCTCGGGATGACATTATAAGAATCAGCGATGATGACTTTATAATATGCTTTTGTAGCTGTCAATTGCATAAATACAATGCATCATTTCGAGGCTGTTGTGCACGCATGTTGTATATGTTACACGTGCTTGCCTATTTTGGAAATGAAGGAAAAGCGAGAGAACAAAGAAAAAAAAAAAGATTCCAATTATTAATCTTACCTATGGCGACTTTTTGAAAGGAAAAGTTTGGGAGGTAAAAAGCTTTGACATTCAATCTGTCGCTGTTTCTTTGATACCTCGGTTCTCTTTCTCTCAAGCAAAGTCGTCCCGTTGAAATATTACGTACCCACTTGATTTTCTTCCATCTGCAAAATCAATCGGTAAGTACAGAGTCAGTAAAATCACCAATAAGCAATGCGAGAGCCTTCATTGTATATACATATATTTTCATGTCCGGAAAAGCAGTTTGATTATATACATATATATGAGCACGTGTGCAAACATCACCTCCAAAAGCGCCCATACATAGCTCCGTGCCTCGGGATAAATTCGTCCTTTAGCTCCCCCACCCCAGTCTCCCTGCAGCGAAATTCCGCTCCTAAAATACGTCCACGTCCTCGCCACGTGTCTGGCTTTGACCTTCGCGTCGCGCCAGCGCGTAATCCTCCGAAAGCTCCCCTCTATACAAACTCGATACCTAAAATACACACGAGTGCATCCTCCGGCTCCCGAGAGCAATCCAAATTACCTTATGTGAACAATCGCCAAACGATACGTACATAGGGATGGTTTTTTACGCAAAAATCGGCAGCGATGAATGATCGGTAAGTAAATCCCCAGGTATGGATGATACAATATAATGTATATATATATAAGCTTGGCGCATAACTCGCCGCGTCAAGTAGCAAAACGCGAGTTAGGTAAGTACACGCAAGCGGAGCAGGGGGTCCGATTTAACATACGCGCCCAACGCGAGTTAAATTACGTAATTAAACTCGCGACACTCGCGACCTTGTGCGGCTGAATGCGATTCGAGGCTATATAGCTGGTCGATGCGCGTCAGATGCGACGATGGCTTGGCTGTACATAGAAAATTTTTGCATACATATATATATATAACGCAAGCTGGTGTTATTGTGTGCGCGTGGGCGAGCGCGAGAGGGAAAGAGAACTGCAGCCAATATGGCTTCTGCTCGTTGCGTAACGATGATACTTGCACCTATACCTACTGCAGTTTTATTTTGCTTTGCTCTTGCGTATACTCTATAAATCTTTTATACGAAAAATCAAGGGCGATGTAGTTTATGTGGCTGGTGGCGGGTTTCGGTGCCCATTGCAGAGAGCTTGCGCGCATCCTTCTCCTTAGGGATGATGGTTGTAACGGTTTTTTTTTTTTAATTTTTCTTTTTGTTTGTTTTTCATTGATACTACCGGGAGAGAGAGAGAGATCTTTGGCATTGGATCCACCGGTGGCCGAATGATATTCGCTAAAGAAACTCATGAAATTTTTATTTTTCATTTTTTAGATGTAGGTGGAGTAAAGTAATTGGCCGTAACATCATTATTTCCAACTGTGACAGTGTAAGGGCACGTCGGTAAAATTACGTATGGCACCGTATTCATTTGAAATATAAATGTCCGTTTCAAAGCGACGGCTGCCTACATAAAACACGCAGATTGATTACACTCTGTCCGTCGTATGTCGCGCTTCTCAACTGTCCGACTCGCACACTACCAACAGTTGCACAATGTTGGTGTAACAAGCGTTGGAGGAAGTGTACGCTTGGAAAATCAATGTAGGATGTTTCTATATGATATATCGTCCTCCAAAGGATATGAAGAGGGGATGCTTTGTGGACACATACATACAAGCTGGCAAAGACATTGCATTTGTTGGAAGATTTGTCGCCAAATTGGAAGATCCGTCGGTTTCGTTTTGAGATTTGATACACGATTTTCTTACAAAACTCTGTTTTATTCCTCTCTGTTGTCATTTTTTACAGTATCTTTATTGTTGTGCGGAAAAATTTAATTGGCTTAAGAAATAGAACAAATTTCCTTTGGTAATTTTATCTTTCCAGCAAACGTAAAAAATGTATAATCTACTTTTTCGTTCATTATAACGTCATTATGCTAGAGATCTGAAACGTCGTTTACATTGTTAATAGTAAAAATTTATTCACTCAATAGAGATATCGCTATTATTCGCAATGCGCACGATATCAATTCACGCTTGATCCTCACTTGTCATAAAATTACTCATTCAGTAAAAGCAAAAGCTTAACTGGCGCGTGGGCTTTCGACCAACGCAGAGGTGATATTTACGCTGTCGCTAGTCGTAGCGAGAACACTAGATTCAAAGCAGTCTTGACACTTTATTTTTTTCAGCATCATCTCGCTTTTACGTTATGCACACGTTGCATCGAGCGACAAGCGACAGCATATGAAAAAGCACCGTAAGGCCGCAAAATTAAACCTCTGCTTAAATGGATCACGCAGCCTCGGCCTCTAATTTAAGAGCTACGTTCCGCCAGAAGTCACCATTAGCCTCCTGTTAACGTCCTTGAAATACCAACAACCAAGTTTCTCGGTTTATAAAACCCGTGTACGTGTGAGTATCATCTCAAGTGTCACTGGATCTTTGTTGAAGACAAGAGTCTCAATAAAGATTGAGCTTCGTGGTGAGGACAACTCGAACGCACTGGTCGAACGAGGTGCAAACCGCTAAGCCGATCTTGTCCGGACTCCAGTCCAGCGAGCTGATCGGCTGGCTCGAAATAGTGTTGTGCTGAAGTAGCTTTAGCTTACCAGCTACGCCCTCGTCTATACCATCCGAGTTCGTGATTCGCCGCTTTTCAGGATAGTTGCTGCAAAGGCAAACGAATGGAGTTTATTGATCAAACAGAAACGCGTGTGACAGTAATTGTGGGTACTCACTATTTCCACAGGCAAAGGGAGCCGTTGCCACCACCCGTCATGAAAATCTCTCTGTTCTGCGGAAGGTGGCGAACCAGCCAGACCGTCGATGCCGAGTGGGCCTGAAAGAACATTCATTCATTCATTCATTCATCATGAGCAAAAGCAAACACCAATAAAATAAAAAAATCAATTACCTTTTCTACCAAATAGGCAAAACCCTTTTTCGAATGCTGCGTCCGCAGATCGAACAAAAAGATCTTAGACTCAAGAGTCGTGGCGACGAGCTTGTTCATCGGTATGTCCCTGCGATCGAACTCGAGGCAGCATACGCCCCTCTTGAGATTGGTCTCCCACCTGAGGGCCATCGCTCGTAGATCGAACATCTTGACGTCGCCGTTGTCGAAACCGGCGACAACCGCGCGATCCTCGTTGTTGTGCGAATTGCCGAACGCTACAGCCCAGCAGTCCCTGCGGCTTTCACCCTCTGCAGGCTCCATCACCGCTACCGGACGGTCTTTCTGTCTCAGGTCCCATACCTGAGAATGCGTTCATTCGAAAACTATCGTTAAGATCTTTTGACCCAATTTGGTATTTAACGTAAAGGAGGGCAAGGTAGGGAACCTTGACGCTGCCGTCGCGAGAGCCCGTGAGGATCTCCGGGGCACCGCAGCCGATGGATTCGCCACCCACGCCGTCTATTGCATTGATGATCTCGTTGTGGGCGTCGGCACTGTACACCGGTACCGAGGCATCCTCCAAGTCAAAGGTGTTCAACTTTCCCTGGTGAATCAATTGATTGAACGTTAGAGATTGAAAAAAACAACAACAAACGGTACGGCTTGTGCAAAGTAGGGTTTGATCATGACATCATTTCACATGTATAAAGATAAAAAAAGTGTAAGTGCGCTATACAGCAGTTTGAAAAAATAGCGGGTGTGATAATAAGCACACCACCAGCTACTGGCGCGCGCTGCTTGTTTGATCGATGACACGTGCCGACGTGAGCGTCGTCTGTTATACCAATTTTATCACCATCACAACCCTCCATAAAAAAAGAGAAAAATAATAGATTCTTCATGTTCTTCCCCCATTAAAAAAAAACCACCTTAATTATATGTACTAACCTTAAAATCACCAGTGGCGAGGAAACGATTTCTCAAACTCGACGCCTTGAAAGTTCCGCATTTGAAGGAGTGCGGCCGTTCGATGTTCTTAATGAGGGTCACTCCTCCACTTGCCACCTCGTAAATCTGTATGAGACCAGTACCCCGAGGACGCGAGCCTAGAACCACGAATTTAGCGCTGCAGGGTATCCACTTGGTGTCAAAGACCGAGTAGTCCAGCGACTTCTCGATATGGCTGATTATTATCGGCTTGGCCAAGCGCTGTTCTGCCGTGCCGCTATTCTCCGTCATGTTTTTCTGTTTCCTGATGAAAATTCTGTGCACCTATCTTGTTGCTGTAACTATAACTTTGTTAACTAAGTAGACGCCAATGTAAAACTTTTTTTTTTGTAGTTCCACCGACAATGAGAGAAAAAAACGTGAATAATCGGTTTTAACAGCTTCGTTACGTTTGTTTTATTACGGTGTGCTGCAGATGATAAGTCGCGCACGGCTTTGCATGTGATCGTATCATCGTATCAGCTTCAGCTATGGCTAGTAAACGTAAACAGAGTAAACAAACGGCAGCGCCGTCTGCTGACTTCCGCAGAAACAGCAAAAACAAGCGAAGGTTGCAGGAACTTGAGAACGAATTAGATTTAAAAAACTAAATTTATTTATCATGGATCTTTTTACACGTCGCGTTTCATTATAAAATATAAATACTGATGGACAAAACACTTGTAAATAATTAAATAATTACATTACACTAGGAAATAGTGCTGTACATCAAATTGATTATAGTCGTCGTTACGTTTTACGTCATTTAGAAATTAAAAAAAAAAATTTGTAACTCATAGTTTTCTAATCTCCCTCTTCCATCTCTTCATCTTCGTTCCCTTCCTGTTCTATCTCGTCATTTCTATCGGTGTCGTCTTCGTTTTCTTTGTCCTCGAGATGGTTGTCTGGATTAGCTGTATTGTCACCCTGTAAAGTTTCGGATGGAGCTGTAACTTTTGCTCTGAATATATTAATGTAGTTGAGTAATCGTTTCTCTCCAGATGCATTCAACTGAAAAAATTTTTAAATCAGTAAAAACAGTGAATTGGTATTTACTCATAAATTGATGTATCAACAGTATTGATAAAATTAATCACCAGATTTTCAACGTCATCCAATGCTTTTAAGATATCGTTTTTTAAATTTTGACCATCTAATTGCACATCTAAACACTTTAGAGATTTTATAAGCACATCCAACTCGATTTCAGTTTCAGGATTCAGAATTTCACTTAATATTGTATATGTGAGCTGATTGTGGGTACTGTAGTTATTGTGAATATGGCAACACGTGAGCTTTATTATGATTTCACTAACTCGAAGTGCATCGATTTCTTGTAGTGGACTCATTTCTGGGGCATTAGCCAACATCTTCAGTGTTGGAAGGTATGCTTCTTCCAATATAGCCTGACTTTCTGGTATTCTACTGATGTAAAGATTAAAGAAACCGCATATGCATTGACTTAAGAATGGATTGTCTTTGGTGCTAGGATTGTGCCATAAAATCAATAATTGAGAAATCAATTGATGACTAACTATTTTTTTGTGTAAGATAAGTTTGCACAGGCCTTCTGCAGCAACAGATTGAAGATTCTGTACCTGCAATCCAAATAAAAGTAATAATATTTATACTTAAGATTAAACAACAAAAATTCATGATACATGAATTGACAGAACACTTTACCTGATTGTCTAATAAGGCAATTAAGGCTTTAATGACGTTATGACTACCATCTGCATGCATATTCTTGTCGTTAACATTAGTGTCTTCGTCATTGTGAGAATACAACCGGACGGATTTACTTTTTTTGCTAGTGTCTTGTATGTTATTTGTACCCTCTTGCGTGATTTCAAAATGTTCAAAACCGTACTTTAATAATAAGTCAAAAATCACTTCGGTAGCAGCTATCCATACATTTTCATCAGCCGACTCGGTAATGTAAAGAAAATACATCATAAGATATTTTTTGGCAAGATCTTTATCTACATGGCAGCACAGACCAACACACTCCAAAGCCAAGCTGAGGACTTTGATATGAGTATTTTGAAGCTGCAACAAAATTTACCATTAGCATTCAAGTGCGATCTATGAAATTTAATAAAAAGTACATACATTAATGTATGGTAGAGTAATGCTTTCCATCAACGTTCTCAATGTTGGTGATAGTACTACTATCGTCTTGGATTGCATCATAAAGTACATTATTTGTAAACACCGGATTATCGTCTCTGGATCATTTTTCTCTTCGCTAACAGCTTGTGACTCTGTGGGTAAACAGTCTCTGGGTTCAGGTTCTTCAGACATATCTAACGCAATAAGTTGTTCCTTTAAGACATCCATTTTTTGTTTAATTTGTTCTGCCAGTTGATAATCTTTTTTCTGAATGGCAGAATACTCTTCATCTTCGTATTCCAATAATTTAACGCGTAACTTGGCTTTCTAAATCATGAAAAAAAATAAAATTGTTTTAACCGTAAATTTAGAAATAATGTGGTTTAGTATCAAAGTAATAGATGAATATTCTTACTTTAAATTTGCGCTCACGCCTTTCGTCTTCCGTATATACTGGAATCAATGGAACTTCTACATTATTTTTAGTTGGCATTCTTATTTCATTGATTGCCTCTACAAGAAGAGCAACTCTTTCATTTACATCTGGTACCACGCTTTCAAAATATTCTACTACGCATTTAGTAATCGTTTCTGAACAATCGTACGATTGTAATGTTTCTAAAATCAATTCTTTTAAATTTCTTCTACCCATTTCATCAGCCAAGTCGTGCAATTTAACCATTTCAAATAATTGAAGCAAAATGAATTGCTGCGATATTTGCTCGTAATCTTTCCTTGATCTGTTATCAATAAGATTCATAAAACTTTTAATATAGGCACAAAATGGTGACAGCTCTGGCATAATTCGTTCGAATTCATCTGAGAAATTTTCACTTTTAAAATATTCAGCTAAACAACGCCAATATAAGATAGCTTCACTGCTAATTTGTTCAACTGGAATAAATTTTGTGGCATCTATAGGCAATTGTTCAATTAATGTTCCAATTTCTACATTTCTGTAACAAAAAGTCTTTTTGATAAAGCAATATTTCTTTATTTTAATAAGTACTAGCAAAAAGTTGAAAAAAAAATTAGTTACAAAGACTGACAAAAGATTGTAAGGCTTACTTGAATAAACACTGTAAAGCTAATGTTGCGGTTTCAGCAGATTGTTCAGCATCGATGGCTTTAATGAAACTGATGAAATTTTGGTCGTAGTATCGTAGCCAAGAAGGTATCAATACTTGTCTGACGCACTTCTTGATCAGCTCAGATCTATCTTGCAAGCCATTATTGATCAACTGCTCTCTCTGGGATATAGTCAGTGATTTGACAGTAATTTTACTAATAAATAAGTAAGCCATCTTGCGCACAGAGTCATCAATATCTCTGGTCCTCTTGATAGCTGCATGCAAGGTCATTTTGTTTTTGGCCATTTTAGCCAAAATTACTCTTCTCACTTCGGCACTGGGATCCTTGGCCAAGTGAAATAAATAAACGTTGATGACAGGACAAGACTTGTTATTTGGTTCCTGCAACCTGTGCAGAGCTATAGCAGCTTGAGCTCTGACTTTGGGAGATTTATCCAATATTCTCTCCATCATACACTGTAAAATCTTGTTACACAATTCGTCATCTATGGTCGCATTGTCCCCCATTGTGTCCAATACCATGTTGAGGAAATAACATATGCGAAACCTTACCTGATAAAAGCATGCAATTTTTTATGAGCAATATAAAATATACAAGAATATTAAAAGCATAAATGGCCTTGATTGTGACTTACTGCAACATCTTTGGCATTGTGGCTGTCTAGGAGAAACTCAAATATTTTTTCGAGGAAGGGACACATTTCCTCATACTCTTCTTCACTTTCACTTTGTGGTTGAAGACTAATGGCAAATTTAGCGGCGAACCAAAGAGTGTTTTCAACGCTCGGTTGTTTTTCCATGTAAGTCATTGGTATTCTGAGGTTAGAAAGGAATTCCTCCGAAAACTGATCCAAGGTCACCTGTAAGCAATAAACAAAATAAGCGAGGGTGCAGATTTTTCTCACAAAATAAAAAAAACACTGCAATACCTTGTCATAGATTTTCCTTAATTTTTTAATGTAGTTTTGATGACAGGTCTTGTCCCTCTGCACTGCAGTGAAGATCTCGCTAATCCTTGTATCCATTCTTACCGGAATTTTTACTACGCTGTGTCTATTCGCACCAAATCCACGTAATTACGTGGATATAAGGTTAGGAATTTTAAAGAAATTAAAAAAATTAATTTTAAATTTAATTAATCCACTGTAGGCAGCTTAAGTAGCTTGACAGAACACAAGCGAACGTTATTTTTTTTTTCTACCCGCGCGCCTGGGGTCCGGGGTTGTAGGTTGTAGCACGTTTCGCAGTGCTACCAACCTAAAAATGTGACAACTATACACAATCGGAATCATCTGACGACGAAGGAAGCTTCGATTCGTATACGTCTAAACCCAACTTCGATAACCTCTCACGTAGCACAGAAGTCAGCGATACATGAAAAAGCATTGTTTTAGTTCAGATGCTTGTTTTTTTATTCACAAATCCGGGATCGTTAGGTAGCAGTTGCAGTTCATTTTAAATTTTTGAAGAAAACCAGTGCTACCAGTCTAAGGGTCAAAAAAGGTGCGCAAACAAAAACGTTTTTACGTTTGTCGTGTGACAGCGATCGGCGATCATCCTCATCTAATTGAAAATTCACGAAACAGCAGTTGTCGAATAGAAACAGCTAGCCAAGCATTTTGACGAACCAATAATCGAATTCGCGTCAGTCGATCGGCGAAACAAAGAGCTTAAAAAATCCCGTAAAAAACGAAAAAAGGTCACGGCCCCAAGAGCTGAGTCCTGAGAGCACACTGCGACAAGAGTTACTCTGGCGGCAGGAGCGCAAAGCAGCGGACAATTCAAATATTCGGTAACGTGTGTTTTATAACCGTATACATGCGTCAACCCGCCAACGGTCCCCAGGCATGCAGTAGAGGAACAACAATAGCCACAGACAGCGTGTGCAAAAAGGGACGCCAGGGCCCGTCTCGTGTGTGTGTATACAAGTAACGCGCGTCGCTGGCCGACACTCCCTTTCCCGGGTGTACCTGATTCTTCCAAGTTAAGGGTTAACGATAATAATCAGGGACCAGAGATCGACAGCTTCCAGGATGAACGACACGCGCAACAAGAAGGACAAGAACCAGCACATTCAGGTCTTCGTGCGCGTTAGGTAAGGATTTTCCTACACCCCATGATCTGCCAGCTGGTGAAGAATGTTTATTTACTTGGGTGTATCATTACCTATCTGAGAGCTGTGTTTTGGATGCAGGCATGGATGAGTGTATGCCATCGTTTTAATTGTCAATCCAGTGCTCGGTGAATTTTTGCGTTTATTTATTGTTGTTTATTGCTCTAAACCTGATGGTATACGTTAAAGGCTGGCACGTTTGAACGATTTGCTAATTAATGATGAAAACTGCCATGTGTATATTAAATAATTAATATTAGTTTTATTTGCTGTATCTATTAATATTATTTAAAGTTATTAGTAATGTGTACTCATGTTTCTGATTGATCTCGTATTTTTTTGCTGATTGAATTGTATTTATCTACTGACTACTAGTACTCGAGAATTTATTTTTTCTTTTAAAGACCAATCAACAATGCAGAAAAAATAAGTAAATCACCAGTAGTTGTTGAGGTATCTTCAAACAAAGAAATCGTTGTCAAGGAAAGGCCACAAGATAAACTTACCAAAAAGTTCACTTTTGATAAAGTATTTGGTCCAGTATCAAAACAGGTATTTTGCTTTGAACAAATTTCAATTTTATCAGCTATTACTTTTTTTCAAAACGAATACATTCCCCGCTGAATTGTATGCTAATTAGCATGATCTCTTTGAAAAAGTCAATTGAAAATACTCCTTCATTCGTCAGTAAATATATCACAAATCGATATTTGTTTTAGATTGATGTTTACAATGCAGTTGTTAATCCTCTTTTGGAAGAAGTTTTGGCTGGATACAACTGTACCGTGTTTGCTTATGGACAAACAGGTACAGGAAAGACTTTTACTATGGAAGGAAACTGCAATGATCCTGCACTACATTGGCAAGCTGTAAGTGTCTTTCTATGTAATATTTTTTACCATCTTAAGTGGCTTTTCAAATTCTTCACATTTTTTGCTATTTTATTCCCAGGACTCTGCAGCAGGTATCATACCTCGAGCTTTAAGTCACTTATTTGATGATTTGAGAACACTGGGTGCTCAAGAATATTCTGTTCGCGTTAGTTTTTTAGAACTGTATAATGAAGAGTTGTTTGATTTACTTTCTCCTAACGATGATGCATCTAAAATTAGGTACTAAAACTTATTAAAAAAAAAAAAATTTAATTGATATAAATTTGAAACTTGTAACCATGGTCTATTCTTAGAATTTACGAAGATGCAACGAGGAAGGGTGCAATTATTATCCATGGTTTGGAAGAAGTGACAGTTCACAATAAAAGTGAAGTCTACAAAATTCTTGATAAAGGCTCAGAGAGACGTCAAACTGCTGCAACATTAATGAATGCTCATTCAAGGTAAAATATTCTTCTTTATTGTTAAAATTAATGTATTTTCAAGTAACGATTTCTAACTGAATTATTAAAATTTTTAGTCGATCTCACACAGTGTTCTCGATAACAGTACACATAAAGGAAAATACTGTTGATGGCGAGGAGCTTCTCAAGACGGGTAAACTGAACTTGGTTGATTTGGCTGGGAGTGAGAATGTAGGAAGATCAGGAGCCGTTGACAGGCGGGCTAGAGAGGCAGGGAATATTAATCAATCATTGCTAACTCTTGGGAGAGTTATAACTGCTTTAGTTGAAAGAGCACCGCATATACCATATCGGTATGATTTTATTTGATTACTGTACCAAATATATTCCAGTAAAACAATTTTTAGATAATATTTTGAAAATTTTAGTGAGTCAAAGTTGACAAGACTACTCCAAGAGTCACTTGGTGGACGAACCAAGACTTCCATTATAGCAACTATTTCACCTGCCTGCATTAACATAGAAGAAACTCTTTCTACCCTTGACTATGCCCACCGTGCAAAGAACATTACAAATCGACCAGAAATCAATCAAAAGCTGTCTAAAAAGGCTTTGCTCAAAGAATACACAGAAGAAATCGAAAGGTTGCGGCGCGATTTATTGGCGACACGTGAGCGCAATGGTGTCTACCTAGCTCATGAAAATTTCACAGAAATGCAAACTCAAATTGAAATTCAAGGCAAAGAAATTGAAGAAAAAATTAATCACATTAAAGCCTTGGAAGAAACAATGACGAATAAAGAAGTAAGCTTACTGCTTTAATGTTGTTTTATCTAGTCATACTAATATTTTATGCGTTTTTATTTCAGAAATTATTTAGTGATCTCCAAGTACAATTCGAACAAACGAATAATGCCTTACATCAAACAAAAAATAGTCTTATCAATACGAAAAATGAACTGGAAAAGACAGCTTACGATAGAGATGTGCAGAAACATTTGGTTGAAAAACATGTCGACACGGAAAAAGTTCTTTTAAATCAGGCTAAAACTCTATTAACTGTAGCAGAAATAGCAACAAATGATACCCAACAGTTACACGACAAGATTAGTCGTAAGCAGTGAGTATAGATTTATTAAATTCATTACTCTAAAATATTTTAGAAAATTATTGTCAGCTGGCACAATAATACTTTTGAGTTAATTAGGTCTCTATTGAATAGTTATTAGATGTTGGAAATATTATTATAGATATTTAATGCATGAAAAATGATATATTTTAGAAAAGTGGAAACAGAAAATGAAACTGTAAGTGAGCAATTCAGAAATGAAATGTTGAAACGTTTTCAAAATGTGGAGGAAAATTTGGGATGCTATAAAGATCATGTGCTTGATTACTGTTCTTCATTACAAGAACAAGTTAGTTCAGTTATTGACTATCAAAAAGAACGAACTGAAGTCACACTCAAACATATATCTGTGGATCTAGTGAAACAAGAAATTGAAATCTCTAAAAAGCTGGAAGAAACTGCGTCCACTTCTGTAAGTTTAAACTTTACAACTTATCTGTTTTAAACTTCACAGTTCATTTCATTACGAATTCAATTTTGTTGTATAGTACGATGAATACCATTCATGGATTCTCACACAAATAGAAAAAACTTCAGATATGACTCAACGTGAGCGTGAAGCTCTTCAGGACATTTCAAAGAAAATTAGTCCTAAAATTCGGGAACTAGTTGAGACAAAAATATCTGAAAATTTGAAAACTTTGCACAACGAAACATCCTCAAAACTATTAAATCTTGTGAATAATGTAAAATTATCCATAGATAATTTTTGCAATGCTTTACTCAAAGATAGAGATAACTTGACCAACGAAGTTGCTGAAATGAAAAAATCTATCGAAGTTGCTGTTCAAAAACAAAATCACATTTCTCAAAACGAAGAAGTACTTTCCAAGGTAAGCATGAGTTTTCAATTGAAATTACATTCTGATTGATACGTAAAACATGGTATGTTTCTATAAAAGTATACAAAAAACATTTTATTCGCAGATGTTTGGTGATTTGAAAAATCAATTTGAAAATACGTTAAAGCAATATGAAAATTTTGCGGCGGAAAACAAACAGTGCCACTCAGTTATTTCAGATAAATTAAATGATATCAGTACAAGGGCTGATAATATCAATGAAAATAATTCAACCAGTTATAAACGTAATGTTAAGCAGGAAAGGCATATTGAAAAACAAATTGAACAGCAGATTTCGGCTGTTAAGAGTGAAGTTGAAACGACCCTCGAAAAGGTATGTCAATCGATTTTTTTGGTTATATTTTTTTGCTTTATTTGACAGTGTACAAGTGGATTTTTTCTTTTAGAACTGGAATATTGCAGAACACGCATTAGCTCAGAGTGCCGTCGTAATTGATAATTTGGAAGAAAATCTAAAATCATCACAATACACCTTGGAGACATTTGACAATTCAGTTAAAGCTGACGCTATGGAACTTCAAACTAAAGCTGAAAAGGAAAAAGAAACAATATTATCAACAGCTCAGGTTAATATAAAAAAAATTCAAAGGTAGACTTTGATGATTACACGCCAAAATGTTAATATGTTTAATTGTACCTATAGGAGTATCATAAGGTCATCACGGATGCTAGTACAATACATACTAACTTTATGAACGATCAGCATACCACTATTCGTGATCGATGTGGTAGAATAAGCAGTAGCCTTGAGGAACAAGCAAATGGTGCTTCGGAGTGGCATAAGAAAATTAATTTGCAGCTGCATTCGACGCATGATAAAATTGAAAAGTTTGTGAGCGAAGAACTGCGCAAAGACATTCCAACAGGTACTGAAGACTAATTTTTTATGTATATTACCTTACTACACCATTCGATAACTGTTGTTGAATAATGTTTTTTACTTATCTATAGGTTCTACTCCTTTAAGACGAGATTATAGTTACCCTCGGCATTTGGTGGCAACATCACCACACGAACGCATCATACAAAGATTCCGACAATTCCGAAAAAATATTGAATCATCAGAGGATGAGGTTTGTATTCAATATCTAAATTTATAATCTGAAAAGTTGGGACGCACTCTCAAAGATGATTAACTCTTGTAGGGTGAAAATACCATGGTAGAAATGACGTCGTCTTCGGATGCGAACAGCAGCGACAGCAACAGCCTATCGTCTCCAACGCCCATTAAAAACGATCATGTAACTTCTACACCATGTAGTACATCAAAATTACGAAAACCAAGTAAAATAAATTATTGTAATAGTATGATAAAATCTGCTTCAACTTCAGATCTTTCTATCGTCACAAAAGTTCAACTTGATTCAACAACTATGTCGGAGATAGAAATGCCAAAGGTAACGGTGTCCATACCTAATCTGTGAAAAAAAAATCTGATACTATGTGTGACAAAAATATTGTTCATTTTAGGAAAACAATGATAAGGAAAATGGAGAAGAATTTTTAAAACCAGAAAGATTCAGGCCAAAACGGTTATCCAAAACAAAAACCGCAAACAGAAAGATTCTTGGATCTTGTAATTAAGGTTGTTTTAAGAGTTATCAGGTATGAATGAAAGTGCGAATTGTAATATTATCCAGTTTATCGCTATAAAAGTATATACTGAAAAAGTAGCTCTTTGTAAGCCTATGACAATTTGATTCTTCTGTATCATTTAAAATTTGTATTATTTAGTAGATGGCAAAATTTTTACAATTGAAAGAAACTGTTTTTATTTTTGATTGAGGCCTGTCATTAATCACAAAATGATATCATTGATTCTTCGTAATTATCGGGTCAATGTCCTTGAACTAAAATTGTCATTTTAAAAATGTGCAACTTGAATTTGTTGACAATCGAGAGGATATAATTTTTCTTCTTGAGTTTGTTTAGAATTTATATTATCTTTTGAATAGAAATACTTGTTAGATTTCATTTAATTATCTTCTTTTTTTTAAGTGTATATATACATGTATGCATGGTAGATTTCTCTAACATAAGAATGAAGTTAATACCAATCATTTTTTAGACAAAAGTAAATTAAAAAAATTTTTCTACGTTATTTATTGCAAGACATTTTCGACGTTTTTCCAGTCTTTACATTATACATCATAAATGCAGAAACAGAATGTATGAAAGAAAACCACATTTCATACTGTTGACTCTCATTTTTTCTAGCAGCGTTAAATAACGTATTGATTTTTGATCGCGTAGCATCAAGCCTAGCATATAATGTTTTTATATTTTATAAAAATAAAGAGAAATAAATTAAACGAGTAATGAATCTGTTAATTTATTTTTCTTACACTTACTCAATTCTTACAATGTAAATATAACATATGAATAAGATGTAACATGAAATTATTCATTTTGTACAATTACAGCGTGACATACTAACGCGAGATATTCTATAAAAACTTAACATCTAACGTAAAAAAAAAAAAAAAAAAAAACCATAAAAATTATTTATATACCTACAGTAATAAACTTTCTTTTTCACAATGTGACATAAATAGTCATTTCGATGTTTGCCTAAGTCTTTGTACGTTACGAATGTAAAAAAGGTTATAGTCACGAAAAACGCGTAATATACAAAGCAGGACTACTTAAGTACATTTAAGAGGCAATTGCTTCTCACGCGGATTCAACGGTGCTAATGTTCCATGTGAAGATAGGGGCTCGAGCAAAGGCCATTTAACTTGCGAAACCTTCGCTCGTGTATATATATACCGATCGAGCCAACCGCACCGATAATTTTTCACGAATTTCGATGAACTTGAATGCAATGGATGACAAGAAGCATCACCGTTTCTCAATGCTCGCGCCGCCAACAAATTCGTCCATTCGATCGCGACGGAAACAAAAGTACATTGAAAAGCGGGGGTCGAACTTGATTTACACAGCGTCCGATTAAATAATCGGACTTTATATTAAAAAAGTTCCACGGTCACCTTGACGCACCTTGACAATACTCGACGATTTTTTTTTTCCTTCCAGCAGCAACGGAGCATTTAAACTTGATCGATTATAATTCTCCAGACGTTCAAAAAAGAAAACAACAAAACGTTTATACCAAATTGATCCAAAACCCCCATCCACGTGTTATATCACAGCAAACGGCCAATCTCCCTTTTGCAAATTAAAAACCTTTATAACAATCGTCAAGGGGCATCAACGTTCACGTAACTAGATAGCCTTCGGCGGGACACACGTGGGGTGTCCGCATCGCTACAGGTTGTTGACCGAGATGATTTGATTTATCCAGCCGATGAAGGCCGAGACCTTGACGTAGACCCCGGGCACGTCCACCCGTCCGCAGCCGAAGCCCCACGAGACCAAGCCGGCCAGCTCGTAGAAACCGTCGTCTTGGCACACCAACGGACCACCTCCATCGCCCTGTTGGGAAACAATTTTTTTTTTTGGGATTTCTCAACTCTCGCGTACCTGTTTTTTTTTTTTTTTTTTTTTTTTTTTCTTATAATTCCCAAGATTCAGCGCACAAAGTGATACTATACTAATTCAAGTTTACCTGGCAGGCGTCGTTGCCCTGCTCGCCACCGGCGCAGAAGCTACTCGCTGGCAGAATGAAGATCTTTTCCGTCACGGCATTGACTTTCCTGATGCATTCCGCGTCACTCACGATCGGAATCTCCGCCTCACGTACTCTCAACGGAATTGGGCCAGCTGTTTATAAAACACACACGCATGCACATGACATCCTTTTGCATATGAAAAATATACACGTCGCTCCACTTATGTCAAATTGCCATCATCATCAAGTCATCAAGTATGTATATACTCTACGTGACTATATTGTATTACTGCAGGCAAGACCGTATAATGATGAGGATAACGAACGAACCTTCGCCCATGTAGCCGTAACCGGTGACGGTGCACCTCTTGCCGGCCGTGTGACTGACCCCCCGAGCTGGTAGGCACACCAGGCAAACGCCGTCCTTGAGCTCGGCCTGGCCGTGCAGCTTCAGGAGCGCTATGTCGTTGTCCAGGGTCTGGCTGTTGTGGTTGTGGTGTATGTAGGTCGTGGCGACGCGCAACGTTTGCGCCCCCGGGCTGCCGTACTTGCGGGTCAGGTCGACGTCGCCGACCCTCACGTAGATCGCGTCGCCCGATCTCACAATACTGAAAATCATGGGCGATGCATAAAAGTACATCCACGGGACGGTGCGCGTTCTCGATCAACATATTATATATGTATAACTTTGAACTAACTTTGTGATGCAGTGAGCTGCAGTGAGTGCCCACTGGGTACCGATGAGGGCACCGCCGCACAGGTACTGGTTGAGCGAGTTTATGAGGGCGACCTGCCAGCACCACTCGTTGGCGTCGGCGTCCTCGCCACCGACGACCCTGGCACCGCGCTCGGGAGATTGCAGCTGTAGACTGCGCGCCTGGATCGGCGCCCTCGACGTGCCCTTCACGCCGCACACGTATTTGCTGTACACCGGGCTCCTGGCCGTCGTCGTTGTCATCATTGTCGTCGTCAACGAGGTCGTCGACAATGGCTCGACTATTTATTTATTTATTCATTTTTTTTTTTTTTTTTTTTTTTTACGTTTCAAGTACTTGTTGTGCGCTGTGTAGGTATGAAGTATATATCGCTTACAGAGAACAGTCGACGGCGGCGGTTGTTGTGCCAAGGACGGAGGCGTGACTGTGTCGTTTCTATTGTTCAGTTGGGCCACGGTCGCGTTGTCCGCCTGGATTCCCAGGTACTCGCGGATGACTGATTTGGCGGCACAGCACAGATGACCAAGATTCTTGCACTTGAAGATGCTCGTCACCTCGGCGTTGTCTGTACGTAATTTTTATTTTTTTATTTTTGTCATTTAGGGTACATCGTCAATCTAATGTGTGATTTTTCTCTTTGAAATTGTTTGACATTGGTGGCTTACTGAAACAGGTGAAGGATAGGTACGACACTATGCAGGATCCCCGGCACTCGGGACGTGGATCGGGGGGTAGAGCGACGGTCGTCGTCGGCGACGGTCTGGGCGTGGTCGATTTTGGCCTTGGTCTCCTCGTCTGAGCAAAATTTTTCATCGATATATTAAATAAAAAAAAAATTTTTTTTAATTAAAGTAAAAAATTACCGATGGGCTCTTGGTGGTATCACAGCAGAATTGTCCCGAGGAACAGGTGGATGTCCGGTAAATAATGGCGTTCGGTCTCTCGCAGAAAGCCAACATGATGTTCATCAGACAGAAGCCTGGACAGGACGGCAGCTTTGTCGTCGCCTTAGTCGTAGGTTTCGGCGTCGTCGTCGTTGGCTCCTGCAATGGGATGTGTAGTATATTATACACTGGCTATTGGGATACGAATCGTAGCCAATTTTGGAAAATAACGCCCACCTCCTTCGGGGGATCCCTGATGCAGCAGTAACCCGAGTCCCCACAGTCGGCGTCAGTGTCGACGTTGTCGCAGATGAGGGCCAACAGTGGATTGACGCAGTCGCCCTTGCATTCTTTGGGCGGCTGGGTGACGGGCTTGGGTTTGCTGGTCGTGGCGAGGGTAGTGGTCAAGGTGCTTGTCTGCACCGAGGGCGAAGCAGGTCTCGCGGAGGGCAACGTGTTGGTCGACAACAAGAAGGTCGTCGGAGCTGGTGAACTCGTGATCAACAATACTGTGGAGTTAGAGGAAAGAGGGTAGGAGGTGTAGGACGTTGGGGAGACGGAGGAATTAAAATTATCGATGTGCGTCAGGTTGGATTTGGTGCGGTCGATGACGAGGAGCTCAGGAGGCGGTGAGTTGCCAAACATGTCGCGCGACACGCAACACTTGAAGCCGCTCTTGCAGAGTGACTCGATGTTCCAGACCGCGTCGCAGTAGTTGGCGATTCTCTCGGACATGCAGATGCCAGAGCACGTCCTAGCTGTGGGTCGGAGCAAAAAAGAAATGGAATCGGTAAAAAAAAAAAAAAAAAAAAAAAAAAAAAAAAAAAAATGAGAAAATCTGACAATTGTGGCTATTTTGTAAATTAAACACTCACTGATCAACTTGTCCGATGCATTCTTTTTGTCATCCTGAAAAACAAAGGGGAAAATAATGATTTTCGTGAAAATCAGAGTAGAAAAAGAAGCTCGCATCGTACGTACAAATTATAAACGGTGCGACACTCGATGATAATCAAATCGCTTGTAATAGTATTCACTTGCCGACTCCCGAGTAAAAATATTACCTCGGAGCACTTGCACGCGCGTGTGCTTGTTGTGTACTATTAACGGTGGAAAACTATGTGATCTAGGCCACGACGAATGTCACTACGTTTGACAATGAAGCCGACCCCCCGAGCAGAAAATATAATCAAGTGCAATTCAACTCGGCCCAGTTGTGTAAAAACATTATACGTAGCAAAGGAAATCGTCAAGTTGCGCTAAATGTGTGAAAAAGTGTGTGTGTACCGTGAACGTGGGACTCGTCAGCATGATCGGCGTGACCGTGCTCGCAGTGCCAGGCTGGATGGTCGTGGTGACGGGCCTCTGAGTGATGGTGGTGGTGCTGCTCGTCGTGCCGATCGGGCCCCCGATAGCTGCCGCGGTATCGTTCCTCGTTTCCAAGCCGGCCGGTCGCTGGTCGGGTTTGGCTCCCGGGTTCGCCTGATGGTGCCCGTCGTGCTCGTAATCGGCGACCTCGTTCGAGCTCGGGCTGTTGTTGCTGCTCGTGCCGTTGAGGGGCGAGTCGAGGCAGCAACGCATACTCGACTGCGGACACGGCACGTCCTCCAGTACATCGTAGCACATGATCGTGGCGAGCGCGTGCACGCACACGCCCGGGCAGTTTTCGCTGTTGGCCGAACTTGTTAGCGAGTCCAGGAGCCCTGGTGGACCGAGGGAGGAGAAGGAATTAATTTCCATTGTTCCTCTTTTTATTGTTCGAAAGGTCTTCATTTTAATGCGCAGGAAGATACGACAATACGTGATTCAATATTGCTCGTATCTTGCTCAAATGCATCTAGCTGATTGTTAATTGCCATTTCATTTATTTTGGGTACTTTTGGAGGAAAAAAAAAAAAACCGGTATTCTTATAAGTGTAGTTTCGATTGAAGGAAAAAAAAAAGTAATCGGAAAATTATGGAAAACATCCGAGAGAAGAGTGAGAACAACAGTTATGTTATTACCATTGCCTCGTAACTTTTTAATCTCACGACGAGAGAGCATCAAACACATTACCGATCAAAAAAAAAATCTTCTTTTTGGCTATTTGATGAGCTTAGAGTGCCGCATCTGTTACTTTTGTAAATATAATAACGAAAGCGTCTTTTTCACGTGCAGCAACGATATACCTTGTACTTTACATCGTAGATTTATGCAAACAAGTGTCAACGCATGAAAAAATTTTAACGCGACAAGAAACGAAAAACTGGATGGAAGGAACGTGCAGCACAAGAGAGATAATGTAAAAAGAGGTGGGGTGGATTCCTGCGTGCGTAATCTACCGTGCTACAGGTGTATGTGTATATAAATATATATATATATATCCATAGGTAGATGTATACTCATAAATAGTGGACGGGATGACTGAACTTGATCATGACACTGAGTCCTTGCGTTTAACGATGAGGTTGAATAACCGGTGAAGGCAGCGAGCAACGCGATTCTTTGTAATACGTGTTTACGCGTGGGTATATCCACGCCGATCTGTGTAAGTATACACTTGATCGGTATGTTATATGTACGGCGTATACCTTTGTTTTCGTAATTGAATCAACTGTTGGAGAAAATTTTAATAAAAACAAAAAAAAAATTGTCTAAAACCTTCAAAGTGATTGTAATTCATTTAAATGAAAATAAAAAAAAATTTTTTATTAATTTAGTCGAAGCGTGTGTCATCATGAGCTCGTAATGTTTTAAATTGATCCACATTGATCCAAGATGATACTCACGCCAACAGTGAAAGTGTTACTGGAGATTAAACTAACAAAACAAAAAAAAAAAAAAAGCAGATGGAGTATTGAACTCTGAATCCGTAACGCAATACAGAGTGGCAACAATGCGTGCATGCTCGATTTTTATAGTTACATCACGCATTACGGTCCCGTATACTATCCATACGTACGGGCGCGCGTACAAACATATATATATACGCGAGTATAATAAGCTCGTAAAATCTACATACACGTATACGCAAGCGGCACTCTTCTCTCGCTCACGCGCATATATATGTTTGCTTACATCACGTGGGTCGTTCATCTCTGAGCGATTATACGAGCAAATTTGAGTCGCCGACGTCGACGCAGTGACAGATACCCGTTAGAGATTATAGCGATGGAATAATAATAATAAAAAAAAAAAAAATCATCATAAACAGAGTAACGTTTTATTGGTATTCGAGATTCGTCTTGGTGAATTCTAATTTTTACCGTTAGATCTTGAGTAGGTATGTAATACCGGCTGTAGGATGATCGAATAATATTATTCGTCAGAGATCTTGCACAATCGGTGATACACTGCAGTGTACCGATACAAACGTAGCGAGGAAAAAAAAAAAGATTCAAATAACAAGCAGTTCATTCATTTGACGATCACCTAACTGTATTGTGCATATATCTACTTTGAGAAAAAAGAGCAAAAATATTGTCGCAAAACAGGTTGTTGCGATTGTTGTTATCGGCGTGTTGCACCTGCGGGTACAATATATGGGTGTACATCCAATGAAAGTTACGAAGCGAGAAATCAAAGACGCGTACGAGTATGAAAATGTATATAGATGCCCCGAAGGACGTGACGTGCTTGAAAAAAAAAAAAAAAAAAAATGAGGAAGGTATAGAGGTCGGGGACGCGCGCGATTCGAGCGAGAGGAAAATAAAGCCGCACGCGGAATTCGCGCGCGTAATGTTGTGTGTATACGTGTACCACGCGTTGGCCGCCGGTTTCACTTTGGCGCGTCCGCGAGGTTTACGCTGTACGTACAAGCGCGCATATAACGGCCCCAAACAAATATAACGGTGTTTAATGAGCCGGGAAACGTTGTGCGTGTATGAGCTCGAGAGAGAAAGAGGCACGAACGAACGAGAGGAACTTGTTCGAGGATCGCTCGTGGTGTATCTTATAGGATAGCACGTGTCGATCGAAAAAACTATACCGTCCGATTTGAGATGTGAATTTTTATTTTCACGGATTTTCGACTCCATGTATAATATGCATCGCTTTCGATGAAATATTTCATTTTTCATTTTTCGTGCGTGATATTTTTTGCAAATCGATTTACGATTGGAATCATATTTAATGGTGTTAAAATCGGTTGTCAATCCTCCATTTGGCGGCAGCATTGTTTCGTGTCTCACAATTGATTCATTTAAAACAACCTCTATTATAAATAAAAAAAAATGAAGCTTTAAAACCTAAAAACGAGCTTCAACACGCGTAAGCTCTACAAGTAGTAAATGGTTTGTTTCTCTTAATGCAGGCACGTATCGCATACTGCAAGTGTGCAAACTCTGTCGCTAATAAAAAGAAAAGCTATGCGGGCGCAAAAAAATGAAATTTTTAAACAAACGCCAGCAACTTTCTTAGATAATGGTATCTAAGTCGACGCGAAAAGTTACCATTTTACATTTTCACTTTTCACGTATGTTATTAAAAGCTTTGGTGATTTTTTTTGCAGGATTTAAAAAATATACAGTTCTCACGTTGTAAACCAACCAATATTCAAGAGAAGCGCGGGATAACTTATTTTATTATTATTATTATTTTTTTTTTTTTCTTACTAAATTAGCTTAAATTTGTCAAGAAAAAAAATAACAAGTGTACGTGCGCGCGTATTGTGAATCCACGGGAGTAAAGAGCACCGATGATTTTTCACTTTAATTTGTCTCTCTCTCTCTCTCTCTCTTTTGTCCATCGAGATGCGGTATGAATTTTAAAGATATTCATAACGATTCCTTTTGAAAAGTGACGGATCGTCATGATCAACAACAATACGAGTTTACGTGGAAAGAAACCGGTGCACAGTACAACTCGGCAAGTATATATCCTTATGTAAGAATCTCCCGATTTTTCGGTACGTTCGCTTTGTCGCCCACTGCAAGCTCTCAGTTAAATTATCTTTCTCACATAACCGGTTCAATAGTACGATATCTATACCATAAAGATTAGTATAGCTGAGTATGTTATATACCGTTGCGCATAATATATACACCGCATAATTATGTACGTCACACCTACCATACCTATAAATATACAAAGTCTTAAACCGGCCAGCGGCCTTCTTTCGCACCGGCACCGCGCTATAACTTACTTTTATATCTACATGTACGTGTATACGCACATGTATACACAAACGAGCTCGCGTACATGTATGTATATACGATGCGAGGAGCGCGAGCCTCGCGGCCTCGCCGCCTCCCTTCCTCCTTCTTGTGCTGTATACTAGGCTGCCGCGTCGAGGAACAAGAAGTGGGCCAGTCGCATCCTTGCGAGGTATAACTGTGTCGGGCGTGTATACACGCGTCGATGTAAGCGATCGCACCCGCGAATTTCTATTTCTCGGATAAGCAAGATATACGTACACCTCCATCCCCTCCTTATGTATATACACTCCCTGCGTGCTCATCTTCTCTTTCCCCCCCCCCCGCTTGATTTTCTCTCTTTTTTTCCAACCGCGTCCCTTTTCTTCCTCGCGCGCGCATAAAGCCGCATTTTTCCGTAATCGCGACCGAAATTTTTGCCGACGCTCGGGCTTTCTTCGTTTCTTTCCTCGTCCACCTACGGATCCTCTATTTTATACTCCCGTGCTTTTCGAGAAAAGACCGCACGTCGCGTTATATCGGTATGTAATCAAGCGCGCTCTAACATATTTCATTAGCACGATTTTTATTTTTGCTCACAAGCGAAGATCGCTTTGTAAGGTGTAAAAAAAAGGGAAAAAAGGAATAGTGCTGGTAGGGCAGAGAACACGTGAAGGTGCAATATAGCGGCATGAAAACACGTACCGTAGGACGCGAGAAATGCACTCTTATACGGTTACAGGTTCAACGAAAGTGCAGATGCTACACGGCACGAACATCTCGTTGTGTGCCCAACGTAATAGTTGAGAGCAACGACCGATCGCTGAACCGATTTTCTTTTCTTTTTTCAATCGATACGCGTACCTCGAAAAAAAAAGTACTCGAAGAAGTAACCGATCTCGGGCGCAAAATGCACGAGTTCCGACACAAACGAAAGCAACAAGCCGCAAATCCCGAGTAGTCTTTGGAATCCAAACCATCAGTCACGTACGCGCTTCCCGGTATTTCTAAATAAGCCAAAGGTATTCGCGCTCGGCGCTGACCTCCTTCGACGCTAGCATCGGGCTTCCGCCTCATTTTTTTTGTTTTGTTTTTGTTTTCTTTCCCTTCATCCGATCGCGAGCGAACGAACCGGGAATCGGCAGCAGTAGCAGCTCACTCTCAACTCGAAAGAAACGAAAAAGGGAACAAGAGCCGCATTCCGGATGGCTTGTGTGCATACATACAATACATGTTTTTCCGCGAACGTACCTGATAGAAAGCTGCCGGCTAGCGAGTCGTCGTCCTGACCGCGAACCGGTGCATCGGGCACGAGTAGCACGAGCAGCAGCACCAGCAGCGCCTCCCATCCTCGCCGCTGTAGCCGCGGCATCGTATGCACGAGGACTTGCTCGCTCTCCGACCGATCAATGTCCTTGTCGCGTTATACTTTTGACAGCGATTCGTCCTCTCGGTCGGCTCTTCTTGGCTTCTTCTTCTTTCTTCTTCTCCGGAGCTGGTCAGCCCGACGGTGTGTATCTCATGTGCTTGTATCGATTATTCGATGGAAAATCGGCAAAAAGGCGATAACAACAATTGGAGCACGTGGGACGCGTTGTCGAGCGACCAAAGTTGTAGAAGCGGTCGCGGCGCGCGCGCGTACAAGTGTGCACGACGACGCGGTGAAAATATAGGAAACGAGGAGACGTCAGCTCTGGTGATGCGTAAGAATGATGTGAAAAAGGGGAGAGAACAGCGGCAGCCTCATCGGGTCTCTGCCGAGCTTTGTGGTATGCAGGCGAGTACGCGGGTAGCGGCCGAGAGACTGCCTTGACTGGTGCCGTGAGTAGGTACAAGGTATAATGCTCTCGCTTGGCTCGGCCCGACTGCTTGTGGGTCAGGGTGTGCGGCGCGCCTCATCGGAGGGGGCCCCCGAGATAGGAGAGAGGGACGTTCCTGCTGCTTTTCTCTTTACCTCGCTTTTATGGACAATATTGTCCCCTACCTCTCGGGCGTCATTATCTCTTCCTCGATCGTCTTTCCCTCTTCGAAGGAATATGACGAGGACGACGAGGAAAGAGTAGTGCTTTTTGCCGGGGATTGCCATTTTCCCCGCCCATTCATCCGCGTCTTTCCATTCCTTTCTCCGTCCGTCGTCTCCTCCTCTCTTGCTCGCGATGTGATTGCCTCGTACATATACGTACAGTTTAGCGATCTTCATCGTTTTCCCGCCGATCTTGTCTCTCTCTCCTCGCGAGAGCTTTCGTGGCTCTTTGCCGATTCTCTTCTTTTGGCTCGATCGACGAAGAAAGCCGACTTCGTTGTACTTGCCCATACATCGGAGAAAATGTGTTTGGGCGAAAACGATGTATGATACATTTGCAGCGAGAGCCGATGTACCAATAACCCTTACGGTATATTGTACACTTGCACGCGCGAGGAGATGCTGGATGCGAGGTGCCATTTTTGGAAAAATTTTTTTTCCTTCCGTTCTTCTTAATTTTATAATCGAGCCAAGCTTGTAATTCATTTTTTTGACGTTCGTTGAGCTTCGGTTATCAATTAACTTCAGAAAAAAAAGTAAGTATGCATCTTGTAAACTCTTACAAACCGCGTATTTGTTACAAATTTCCTGAAAATTATATGTACGCGTCGTGTGACATTTTATTTATTTATTTTTCTATAAGCTACGAGTCGGCGTTTTGTACACTTATAAATATAACGATCGAATAAAAGCTCGAAACGGACATTTAAAAGTTACCTGACTCGTCGATCTTATTGATTCATCGCTGGGTGGGAATTCAGCGGGCCACACCGCCTCTCTCGTTAAACCTTGAAAGGTGAATGACTCGGGATCTATTACACGAAATTCGTTTTGATCGGGAATCGAAATACTTTACGATCTCCAACTGTACTCGGGCGTTAAAATTTCGTTCATATTTTTAAACCGGACAAACTTATGCAATAAACGAGTGATTGAAAATCGGCGAGCATCGGTAGGTATTACATACGTGACACATCGATGCGGGTGATTTACTCCTGCCGATTACAGCGCGCCGATCAAATGACCGCAGAATAAAAATAACGAAAGTGCCAGCACAACTTAGCGGCAAGAAAATAATGCAGATGACAATCAAGCAAGTACGTAATGATATATAGAGAGAGAGAGAGAGACAGGATAGGGAAGCGGCCACGGGTCCAAAAGCAAACGACGAGATTAAATTTAATTGCCTTCTTCGTCCCTTTTTTTTTCCAGTCGTCAACGTGTGCGGCCACATGTCAGGTATACGTGTATTTCTTCCTTTGATACTTTAATATACGCAAGAGTATACTATATTCGTGTGCGTCGGATTAGCGGTACTTTGCTGCCAGCACCATACGCTCGAGCTCGCAAGTAATAAGTATATACCACACACGTAAGTATATATAGGTATATATGTTACACACGTGTTCGTAATATTGTGTGCAGGTGGGTATACACCTTTGATCTTCAATGAGATTTTCACAATCACTGCTTTATGCTAAAAATGTTTAATTGAAAAAAAAAAAAAAAAAAATTATAAATATAAAATGCTGGAATCAATGGCATAATCGTTAATATCGTTTCGTTGTGAAAATTTAAGGAATTAATTTTAAGTTTACCCTCGTTATTTACTTTTAATGAATGTAAATAAATTTTAAAGCCAATTTTCATTTTCAAAGTTAATTACTGACAGAATACGACGTAAATCAGTTTTGCTACACGGTTTGTACTAGATTTTCTGTACAATTTTATTCGTGAACACTAGCAAGTGTTACGTCTTAAACATTTGGCAGTATTATAAAGAATAAACATACCTTTATGCCGAGAGCATGGCCTGAATCACTTGTTGACATGTTTTTTATGCTTAAGATATGAATCATTCACTTTGGGTGGTTGAATTCAAGTATGATTAAAAATACCAAGTTTTTTGAATTTACAAAGCTTACCAAACTTTTTATTATTTTGCACTATTTAATCGTAGCGTAACTTAATAACACTTAAAAATAACACTTAATTCTTACCTACTTACAACTACTGTGTTATAAGACCCATGTCAACGGGATCTAATAACTTATACCGTAGTATGGATTCGATAAACCACATCAATGGCAAAGATTTAAGGCATCGCATATTATAAATGAGTCGATTTGAGTTCGAATGTACATCATCATTGTCCGGAATGTAAATAATATAATGAGTACATTTATGCAAAGAATGACTTGGGTCGTGTGCTGTATGAAAGGGCGTTAGTAAGCCTTGAATATCTTCTGGTCTGGGCTCCCTTGTCATTATTGTGCCTCCACCAGCGGCAACTAACGTCGACAGATTTTCTTTCGTAAACGAGACCCCATCATATTTGATGGAGTCGGTGCTCTTCATAGCGAAGAAAAAGAAACAATTGTTGAACAACTTTGGATTCTGTAAGGTAAATTTTTTTTATTTAGTCAAGCTTCTAATTTATAACTTGTGAGATCTTTTAATAATCACCTGCTTCTCCATATTATCCCTTGCGCGCAAAGGACCATTATCTAATTGTTGGGGATTTATTTCAAAAATGCTCAGTTGACTTGAATAAACATTTTCATTATCCAAGAGGATTGGTAAACCTGTTGATACAAAATATTAGAAAAAATTAATTTGCATCATTGCTCTTTAATTTTATCTTGGTAAATAAACAATGAAAACTAACAAGCACTGTTTAAAAATTTTTTTCCATGTAAAATAGTCAGTAGCACGTCAAATGTCAGTGTTATGTTGTCATCATCCTCTGCATCAATGATCACGTGACTAACAGATAGACTGTAACATTGAAATATAAGAAGGATAAAAATAATGTTAACATAAAAAACACAGCAAGTTAATTAAATATTTAATGTACTAATTACCTAAAATTATTGACGACTTTTATTCTTTTTTCATTACTTAATTTGATTAGCTGTTTACGACTTGATAGTTTTAAATTAGAGCCATACAAAACAATTTTTCCATTGCCCACTGGATCTAATGTTTTATCAATAATTTTTGTTACATCATTAGATGATTCTTCCTTGTTATTAGAATCCTTTAAAGTTTTGAAAAACTGGACCATCTCTTTTGATTTACTATAGTCTCTGTAAAACGATTAAATACGATTACATTTACTTACTATAATGTCATTTAAACAAACTAGTTTAACTAACTTTGGTTTTTTTCCTTCTTTATCACATAAATCTCTGCTTGCTTTATGATTTATGAGTAGGGACACTAATTCCAAGTCGTTAACAATTACAGCCTCATGTAATGCAGTCCTATTATCAAAACCAATCATGTTAGGAGAAGCACCAGCTTTCAAAAGTGTTTCGCAAACATTATAAAAGTTATAACTCGCGGCTTCTTGCTATAAAAACACAATTATAAGAATGTACATAAAATTTTAAAGAAGGTAAACTGTATTTTTATGTTAAAGAAGAGTACCAGAGGAGTCCAGCCTGCATTATCTTTGGTGTTTGGATTTGCTCCTTTTTCTAACAGTAATTTTACTTTTTCTTCGTGGTTCTAAAGTTAAAAAAAAGAGAGATATTATTTAAAATTAAAACGCTTAGTTTTCATCAAAGTGATACTCACATTACGACAGGCAATGTGCAAGGGTGTTTCCCCTTGATTGTTTTTCTTGTTAATATTCTTTGGAATATTGAAAGTACTTCTACTTGCATTAGATTCGCAAATAGAAGTATTCATTGTCTCATTAATATCTTTACCTTTGGAAGTTTGTTTTTTTGGTCCCTTTTTTTTACTTATGTTTTTATCACTGGTTGACGTAGCTGATATACTTTCTGAAGCTTCATAATCATTATGGTCCTCAAAGCTAGACAAAGTCATTAATTGTAGCAAAAGTGATTGCCACAAATTATTAAAATTGCAATTAGACCAATAAACATACCTCAGACCAACAGCCTCAGCAATAACATTTAAACTGTTTAACAGATCATTAATTTCTCGATCAGCATATATTTCTGTTACTTCGCTAGGAATGTGGCAAGCTACGCAGTTGGTTTCTTTGCCAATACATTTGGCACATGCATAGTGCCCACAATTTAAAAACTGCTGTGGATTTCTTAATCTCTGATTGCTTGGAAAATTAAAACACATATAAATTGTTATTATGTTTACACACTCTAGAACAGTATGTAAACAAGAAAGTTTTCTATTTTGATGGTTGAGATGATTAGTGTATGTATTTTTGATGAGTAGAAAGAAAAAAAAATTCAATTATCAAGATGAAGAGTTTTAATTATGTACTGACAGTACCTGTGCAACTTAAAGATAAAGAAAAAAAAAAACAAAAAGTTTGAGAAACAATTTAGAGAGAAAGCATTTCAGTCTGTTTTTTTCACTTTTCTTCTATCACAAACAAAGGCTTAAACTATTCGGAAAATATTTTATTTTCTTTTCAAGTTTTTTAAAGATCTTAATGTTAGTTTTACTTGGGAAAATATGTAATTTTCCATAAACATAACATGTACCACCCCTAAAAACAAGTGTTCAAAACTTTTTTTCCGAGTTTCATAATTAAGGTACGGCAGTACTACTTTAATTACTTGTGAAATTTGGATGTGTTTATTAATTCAACAATGAAAATTACCATTTTCCGCAGGCGAGTGTTGCCATGAAATTGTTTAACGCCTCGTGCGTTTTCACCCACATCGTTTCTGTCCCTACCATACTTAATATGCTCTCAACTACTCTGGATTTATTAACTGTCAGTACTCAGGTACCCTAAATTAGTTTATTTTTTCAATGAATTAAGTAAGTTATTTACAGTTAGTCGGTGTCGGAGACTCTTTCGGCGCCTCGGCAGTTTAGATTTGTTTATAATCTGACACACCGTGTGTATATCTATAGATAATGTACCAAGGACCAATTAGGTGCTCGCGTCCGGTAGTGTCCTCTACCGGTTGCCGCCCAACATAAAGTTCAAAATTATAAACGCGGTAAATTTGAATGTAAAAATGCGGTCGGTAATTCTTTTGTCGTTACTCTGTACAGGATTTATTATTTATTTATTTATACTAGCCAATAATACATTTTTGCCGAAAGAAGGTAGTTCCAAAAACAAAAAAAAGATATTATTTTAAAAAGATAAAAATATATACTTCGTTTTTATTTCTCTTTTTCTAGTAAGTCTACATGATTTGAATAATTATTTATAAAATTCATAAAATTTAATTAGCAGTGTTAACTTGGAGCCATACATTTGTCGAACGCGACACTCAAACGCATACTTACTTGTGAGGGATAAACAATTAATTAATCCCATTCAACTTGTACATGGGCTTAAATGCCATGCCTTGACCGTGTATCGCTCTTCACATATACACGCTTTCTTATAACAAAATAGATTATATAAACTTTATCCATAAAATAACACGTATAAAATTACAAAAATAAAATTAATTTTCAACATCAATAATTTCTTCACTATCCAAACTTATTGTATTATTTTCGGTGTTTCGTAATGAATTAGTAACATTTTTTTTATCATAGAGAGCTCTAGACTTTTGAGAGCTTATAACAATAATACTTTCTTGAGAATCATCAGAACAAAACACACTACTGCTAGTATTCAAATTTTTTTTTGGGTCAATGTTGTTTACTTTTTCAAACACGATATCCAGTTCTTGAGAAGAATTTTCTTCTTCTTCGATACTAGGGTTAAGATACAATTTATCTTCTTTCTCGTTTGTAGGAATAAAACTGCTTTGCATAGTTTCCTTGATGATACTTAGGGTTTCACCACTGTATTCTTCAATGATGTTTTCATGTCTTTTTGAGTTAGTACTTTCATCTTTTTCTGTACTACACATAGATAAAGGACTGCTCCGTGTAATCCTCTTAAAAGTACTCGGAGTTTTATTACTGCTTTCTGCAAAAATGCTTTCGTTTTTTTTTGAGTTATTAATTTCATCATCTTTATTACTGATACATAAAAGAGTATTCTGCGTAGTTCTCTTTAAAGTACTTGGAGATTCATTAGTGTTTGTAGCAATAACGCTTTTATCTTCTGTTAAACTATTGTTATTATTTAAAGGCGAAACAATGATTTGTGAGGTACTTTCAGAAATACTGGGGAACTCATTACTGACTTCAAAGAGGTTTCTATTTTCTGGTGAATTTTCATCTTTATCAACGTGTAATAAAGCTTTTGTCTCTTCGGATTGACAGTAGGATCTACAGATTATTTAAAATAAATGTAAATATAACATCAAACTCATTTTACACTAGAAGTTAAAATTTTTCTGTTTCAACAGAATTAAAACAAAAGTAAACATAAACTTACACTGGCAGATTTCCAGCATCATCAAATACATTTTTTTTTGCACCATAACTTAAAAGTAATTGTATGAAATTTGAGTTGTTGTTTCTGGCTGCTTCATGCAAAGCTGTTCGGCCTTCATGACCTTTTTTATTAACATCAGCATTGAACTTTAAAAGAATTTCGGACAGCTCATAAAAATTGTAATCAACACATTCTTGCTGAAAAAAATTACATGTATTTTTTAATTTTAAACTAACAATAACATTTGATTTCTCAAATTACCAACGGAGTCCAGTGTGCATGGCAAGGAATGTTTGGATCTGCTCCTGCATTTAAAAAAGCTCTAACTGTGTCTACGTGATTCTTAAATAAATAAAAAGTATTACAAATTTTATAGTTATATTACTACAGTAATGTTAACTAAAATACCTTTCGACATTCTTGAAGTAAAATTGTTTCACCCTTTGGAGATCTTTTATTAATTTTATATGGATTTGATAGAATACTTTTAAACTTTTCTGGATTTCTTTTTTTTTCGTTATTTGGTGAAAAATCTTTTTTAGCATGATTCAAAATATTGCTATTTTGAGAGTTTTCAGCAGAGTTGCTATCATTGTATTTATGAAAAGTATCGTTGCCGCTACATTTGACTGTCGTTTTTGTTTGTTTGTCAAAACGTCTTGGATAAACACAATTTTCATAAACTCTTGTATCAGCATCTTTTTCGTCAGTATATTTAGCTAGAATCTGATGAGATGTATCTTCTAGTAAAGGTTCGAAACTTATATTCATGCTGTTTATTTTTTCAAACATTAAATCCAATTCTCCAAAAGCATTATCTTCTTCTTTTATGTCAAGTTCAAGATACATATCTTCTTCCTCGTTTGTGGGTAACAAATTAAGATTACTTTCTGTAGTTCTCTCAGAGGTACTAGGGCCTTTATCAAAATCTTCTGTGAGAATTCTTTTTTCTGTCAAGTTATCATTTGTGCAATTATTTTGTACTTCCATTTGCGTGTCTATGCATAGTAAAACTTTTGCCTCTTCCAATTGGCAGTAAAATCTAAAAAAAAATATTAACAAGTTTTATGAATTAACAAAAAAATTTTTGTGAGCTTTCATATTTTTGTATTGAGACAATCGAAAGTAAATATGAACTTACATTGGCAGGTTTCCAGTATTATCAAATATATCTTTTTTTGCACCATAATTTAATAGTAACTGTATGATGCCCAAGTTATTATTTTTAGCTGCTTCGTGCAAAGCTGTTCGGCCTTCGTGACCTTTTTTATTAACATCAGCATTGAACTTTAAAAGAACTTCAGCTATTTCGTGAAAATTGTAAGCAACACTTTCTTGCTAAAAAAAAATTTCAATTAAATATCAACTCATGCATTTAATTTTATAAATATATTTTTTTTACCAATGGTGTCCAGCCTGCAAAACAAGGAATGTTTGGATCTGCTCCTACATCTAAAAAAGCTTTTACATTATCTACGTGATTCTAAAATAAATCATTAGTAATTAATACAAATATCATGAATTATATTACCTTTATTTGTGTATTTTTTTTATAATTTAAGTACCTTTAGACATTCTTGAAGTAAAATTGTTTCACCCTTAGGAGATCTTTTATTGATTTTTTTAGGATTGCAGAGAATAGCTCTAAATTTATCTAATTTTGGTTTTTTTATGGCCTGATTGCTACTTGCATTTATATCTTTTTTACGTTTTGCAATCTTTTTGCATGATTTTTTTGTAAGCTTACTATGTATTGTCAATATGTTATTGTCGAGTTTCGGATTACTGATGGCTATGTTGCCATTGTGAGATAACGGGGCTTGTTCTAATTTCATTCCTATATCTTCGTTGTTCCTATAAAAATTTGAAAAATAAATCTTTATGAAAAAAATCCGATACACAAATGTAATTAGTTATTTTTATTAAATTACAAATAATTTTGTTACATATGTATTCAAAATAACAAAGGAACGAATATTTACAAACACGAAGATTTACAAATTCCATGATGAGGGCGTTACATTTCAAAACCGTATGGAAGTTATGGAGTATCTATACGTGTCATTAGAATAAGATAAGAAAGAAATTTATAAATACGCCAGATACTTAAGCTTATTCCCGACCCCCTCCGACGAGTTGAGTGACACAGAAGTCATAAACTGAATTACCGCGCGGAGGGGGTCGGGAATATCTGGCCGTCAAGTGTACTTCTATATGACTCATTTATGCACATAGGTTCCTGCTTTCTTATTCCCTATAATAAAAATTAAAAGAGAAAATCGTGGCAAATCTTTTGGCACAAGAGTAAGTGCGATATAAGATGCGCCATACGAAAAGGGGAAAAACCCATCAATGTGCCGCGTCCACAGGATTTAGTTATGGTATAGGTACCTATATGTACAACTTTTAAAAACGATACAAGTTGATACATACAGTAGATATTTCAAGAATAAAAATATTATGCTCGGATATCTAATAGGTAATAAACTTAGCAAAGAAGACTCACTTGAGGCCAACAATGTTGGCTATAGTACAGCAAGCCTGTACGATTTTGTGTATCGTCTCATCTTTCTGAAGGTTTTGATTTTTAGAATTTAACAAACAATCGACGCATGTATTATTGCTGTTGTTTGTGCATGAGATGCAAGAGACGTGACCGCAATCTAAAAACTGCCGAGGCTCATGGAGACTCTTTTTGCTAAATTAAAAAAAAAAAATAAAAATAAATCATCGCGCTAACAAATTTCGTAAGTAAGCATACGGATCTTGTGGTATAACAATAGTAATGACTTTTAATACGAGTACCATTTGGAGCAACTAAGGAGATTCAAAAGTTCGCGTAGCGAATTGCACGTCTTAGCCCACTTGTTTATGTTAATCATCTTCGTTGGTGCGAGGAGGAAACTGATCAGATTTTCTGTTCTTGTCGTTTGGTGCGGTTTCAACTTTTTTTTTTTTTTTCACGCTTTATAACATGTTATTTGCCATATCCACTCAGTGGATATCATATTACTTGTTGAAATCGATTTCGCGCGAGTTTTGTTTTTTACCACAATCTATACACTATGGTAAAATTACCCTCACACCGGCGATGAAGCCGATGATCGATGATTTCAGCAAATCAATTCCTCACTTCTTTCTCTCGCCGACACCGTCTCACTCGACTGCTCCTTTTTTATCGGCAACAAAAACAAATCATAGGTTATACACCTATATATCTATAATTTCTGCCTGGTCTCGATTGTCTCGAATCGAATATCGAACGAACGATTGCATTGTTTGAACAATCCCGGTAAACGCCAGCGATTTCTGGTAAACGCGAGTGCACATGTGTGAGGTAGATAAGTTGTCAATTGTCAATTCAATTCAATTTATTTATTGGCGTCGTATTAAAATACATATGCCATTGTCAATTGTCAGTTGTCATGTTGTCATCGTGTGTATAGTGTATTAGCGTCATCTAGCGTTTTAACTGTCTTGAATAAAACCCTAGATTCTAGGGTTTTCCGCGAGAAGTAAATCACTAGGTGTATTTAGTTCTAGAGTGTAAAAATAATACTGTACCTACATACAGTATGTGTACTATTCGCTCCGAGCCGATGCAGAGGTACACACACAAGGGTGAGGTTATGTTATGGTTTTCATACATCCTCTGTGACGGCGCACGTGAACAGACTGAACAGCAGCAGCACTTGTAGGTTGCTGCTAATGCTTTTTCAAAGGATTTTTTCTTTTCTCTAAATTTTAATCATGTCAAAAATAAAGGCAAAGAATTTGCCAGTATCTAATAGTGTTGGTAAAAATAATAAAAGTGATGGAGGAGTCACAAAAAAAAAGAAAAAGTATTCGGGTGCATTGGTGAAGAAGTCTGGAGGATTTCAATCAATGGGGTTGAGTTATCCTGTTTTACAAGGTATTTTGAAACGTGGTTACAAAGTGCCTACGCCTATTCAAAGAAAGGTACTTATAAATTATTTCACGCACAAATTCAGATTAATAATTGAACTGTATAACACTAACGTCATTTTTTTTTGGACAGACGATACCATTGGCAATGATTGGCAAAGACGTGGTTGCCATGGCTCGTACTGGCAGCGGTAAAACCGCTTGTTTTTTGATACCACTATTTGAAAAACTGCAAGCCAGACAGGCCAAGGCAGGAGCAAGAGCTTTGATTCTATCACCTACTAGAGAACTGGCTCTTCAAACGTTAAAATTCATCAAAGATCTGGGAAAATTCACGGGATTAAAATCGGCTGTCATTTTGGGTGGTGACAGTATGGAAACTCAATTTTCTGCCATTCACGGCAATCCTGATATCATTGTTGCTACTCCTGGCAGATTTCTTCATATTCTTGTCGAAATGAATATGAATTTGAACAGCATTGAGTTTGTTATTTTTGATGAAGCTGATCGGTATGTTAATTATGTGTGCCATCATTGCATAAAAATTTTTTATTTTGTAAATCATAACCGAGCGTGATTGCAGGTTGTTCGAAATGGGTTTTGGAGAGCAAATCAATGAGATAACAAATCGACTGCCAAATAGAAAGCAGGTGCTTTTATTTTCAGCTACGTTACCAAAAATCTTGGTAGAATTTGCAAAAGTGGGACTTGACAATCCAGTACTTGTGCGTCTTGACGTCGAAAGCAAGATTCCTGACGAGCTGAAACTTTGTTTTGTAACTTGTAGACCTGAAGAAAAGCTGGCTGTCATGATGTGTTTGCTGAAACAAGTTATAAAACCGGAATCTCAAACAGTAATATTTGTGGCCACTATGCATCACGTTGAGTACATAAGTCAAGTAAGATCTTTTCTATTTTAGCTGCTTACAACATTTAATTGATAAAATTTTCATTCATGGTATTATTTATGCAATATCCAGATTCTGACTTTGGCTGGAATAGCAAACTCATTTTTGTATTCTAATTTGGATGCGACTGCAAGAAAAATAAATGCAGCTAAATTCCAGCAAGGAAAAGTAAAAGTACTTGTTGTAACAGACGTTGCTGCTAGAGGTATTGATATACCTCATTTAGATAATGTTATTAATTTCAACTTTCCGGCCAAAAGCAAATTATTTGTACATAGAGTTGGTGAGTTAGTTCTATGTTGTTTGAGATATTTGGAATAATTTCTTTAGTTTGCTAAATTATAATCTTTTTTAAACTCAGGCAGATGTGCTCGGGCTGGACGAAGTGGAACTGCCTATAATATAGTTAGCCCTGATGAATACTCTCATCTTTTGGACCTACATTTGTTCCTTGGGCGTTCATTTAACATTGTCCCTCCAACTGAAGCAAAAAACGTTCCAGAAGAAGCTATAGGAAAAATGCCACAATCAATGATCGAGGATGAACAGTCCAATCTTATATCATGGCATGAAAGTAATACTGATGTTGTAAGTATTTGAATAATTTATACCATCAGGTTCATACGGTAGAAAAATTTTTACTATGCTTATCAAATTACAGTACAACATGCAAAGTGTATGTGACAATGCATATCAAAAATATATAAAGTCAAGACCAGCAGCTTCCGTAGAAAGTATCAAAAGAGTAAAGGAATTGGACATTTCATTTGCTGGTGTGCTACCAGAATTCAGAGGGCTTTGTAATGATGCTACTGATTTGCTGACAAAGATGAAAGGTTATCGACCTCGAGGGGTAAGAAACAAAATTCAATTTTTTTTTATTTGGATGACGTTTTATTCTTGCTGATTTTATTAAGCCTACGTTATTTCAGACAGTATTTGAAGTCGTTGCTAAACCTTCATCAGTGGATTATAAAGTCATGAAAGAGAAGCGAGCTTTCCACAAAGATAATATTTTCAACCATCACAGAAAATTAGAGGAAAGGCAAAGTTGGATTACAGAAGGTAAGATTGAAAAAAAATGTTTTAGCAGCGAATTAAAAATGTTATAAATTAGTTTCAGAAAGCCAAGATACTTCTAAACTGCCATCGAGTAGTAATGACGAAATAAATTCAGCATTTAGTGAAGTCATCCTTCCAAAGAAAAGGAAAATGGATAACTTGTATCGTGATGAGAAGAAAAAGAAACGGAAAAACCTTAAGGATGAAGAATTTTATATACCTTACACCGCTCCAGATCAACACACCGAAGAGGGGTAATTATAACTTTTCATTCATTAATTTTGACAAAGCTTACACCGAAAAATGTATCTTACCTTTAACTTAACAGTCTGGCTGTCAACAACTTTGCATCTGAAGCAGAAAAGGCTCACTTTGATCTTTGTGCCGATAACAATGAATCGCAACGGCTTCAAAAGCAAATTAAAAAGTGGGATCGTAAGAAGAAGAAAATGATCACCATCGACAACGTAAGTAATACATCTATGAACAACGAAATGGATTTAAAATTATTAGCTCGCTATTGAATAACTTTTTTTATTACAGAATTCTAGAGTTGGGAAAATCCGCACAGAGTCGGGTGTTTGGATTCCAGCTACTTATAAAACAAAACGATACGAGCAATGGAAAGATAAAAATAAAGTTGTAGCTCAAATGGAAGCTGTCGAGGAAGACGAGGACGCTGATAATGAAACACGTCGTCAACTAGAGAGGTGTAAGTATTACAATTCGTAGACAAACATTCAGTCGTGTAAATTTTACCTAGTTGACTGAAAATTATTTGTTACTGCCAAAATGCTCTTATCATAAAATTAACTCTTTCTTTAAGAATTTGCTGTGAATTTAATAAACAATAGCTTCAATCACGTAAATAAACAAACCGGGAAAAAAAAAGGCAAGCTTGATTGCTTTGGTAGACAGGGAGTTAAATCGTTGGTTCGGCCAATAAGACATGGTTTATTTATAAGCCTGAGAGCATGTTCAACCAACTTCGAATTGGATTGAGCAAAGCTTGTGCTCACTATCTACTCTCGTTATTCGCAGGAAGAGAGTAATTGATCTATCAGTAGGTGCACGGATCGTCGTCCGAATATGCCTCTGTGCTCGCGCTCATATCACTACGTTTATGTACTTGTCAAAACGTACAGCAATCAAAATCAATCAGCACATAATATTCATACCCACGGTTACATGAATCTTAATCAAATCAGTGGGCATGGCTTTGGATTCTTGAAATTCACCAATATATGTTTGAATTAACGAGAATGGCATTCGTTAAAAAAAAAAAAAAAATTCATTTTATTTTCAGTGGATACATCGAGAATGACCCACTGGGCCAGACACAATCAGAAGCTAAAAGAAAAGCTAATGGTCAAGAGCGAGCTGAAGAGGCCGGAGCAGATACTGAAGGCGCGCGAGATACTGGAGAAGAAGAGGGCGAGGAGTGGGCGCAAGAAAGCAGGTGGCCGCAAAGGTGGTGGGAAAGGTCGCAACAGGCGCAGATAAGTCCACGCAAATTTTCACATCTGATCGTACTCAAACGGATGTATACCATTGAAGGCTGTAAGATAAAAATAATTATTGTTAAACCATACGGCTTGTTACTTCTTTACATTAAAAATAACGCAACGTATATTAAGTTCTTACGAGTTTTCTATCTACTTTCCGAGTAAACAAATATTAATGCGTCATCCACTACACCAGCGACGAAAAAAAGTGTGTGAAAAAAGCGGCAAGACACTTCTCCCACACGCTTCAAAGTACGTATATACAAGCATAAGCTGCACAAAGGGTTGACGCGTAAATTGACGCACATCCTGTCGGGATGAGGTCCGAGAGAGCCAGTCCCTCCCTACATACTCCTCCTCTTTGTTCTTTTTTTTTTTTTTCCCTTTTCAGCCGACGGTGTATGCACTTTTTCACAGCGTCGCTCATCTCTCAAGGCTATGCCACGCATATACCTACCTCGAGGAATGTTAGCTGCCGCTCTACACCACAAAACTCGACTCTGTAGTTGACACATTGCGCAATAGTGGGTGTGTATAGTATAGCGACAGGTATTCGTATTACGTCCATCGGTGCGATACCTACCTGCTGTTCGCGTAATTTTTCAGTAGTTGAGGTGAATAACGAAGGATACAGATGGAAAGAGATATTTGTTGATTACACATGTACGATGAATTACGCAGTCGGAAGTAGAAAATTTTTATTATTCGCCGTATACGTAAATGGCTATTATTATAAATACGGAAAATTTTACATACTTTTGATTCGTTGCCAATTGAATGTTAATAATAATTTTTGTTGACAAATTAAAAAAAAATCATTTTGGCTCATAAAAAGTTTTTTCGTTTGTCGAAAAGGAAAAAAAAACAACCGTATTCCATACGGACATTGCTATAATATGCGAAACTTCGATGCTGATGATCATGAAAAAAAACGCTACTCACTCGGATTACTCACTTCCCAAACAATGCCGTTCATTATACATTGCATCCAACTTGCGTCTTGCATTGACATAACGTCTATTATGTGTAGGTGAATACAGTTAGTACAAAGTAACGCCTTGTCCAGAAAAGATCGGCAAGCTTAACTACACCTACACAAGAGTCAAATCCTCCCGTCTGCAGCCCAATGGTAGATATGGGTATAAGAAATAAAATAAAATAAACAAGACGTCGCGCGCATGCAGCTACACACATTCCACAGCTTATTTTGCCTGCATGCATTCCTCAATTAGCCGGTCTGTGTTTGCATGCACACACGCCCATATTCTACTCCTCCCGCATTTTATGATGCACAAATGCGAGCGCACGCTCGTTTGCCTTTAAACAAATACTCGAATAGAAGAAAAAAAGAAAGCTCCCTATCGACGCGACGAAAGAAAAGATTTGGGGCACGTGTTTTTTCTCATCCCTTACACGTACCTATGTATACATATAGGGGCCGTACAATATCAATGGATTGTGGAGGCGCGTCAAAAGTATACAAATAGCCCGGGCAAAGTACAAAGCCCGCGTTGATCGATTTGTGTGTGTGCTTGTATGTACATGTTAGCCAACTAATACACTTAAGTATACATTCAGCTGTGCGTGTTACGCTCGCCGAGGTCGTGACGGGGGCTCTCTCGTGATGCACTTTCCGAAGCCAGATAATGCACCGGCGGAATAAAAGAAGCCTCACTTTCTCTCCTTTTTCCGCAATATGCGCTTCGATCGATCGAGTGGCCTTTTTTTTCCCTTTTTTTTCCCTTTTTTTTTCATCGGCGTAGGTGTGGTCGCGTGAGGAATCGGCTCGGATTAGAGAGAGCGAAGGCGCGTCACTGGGGAAGCTTTTATTATTTAAGATCGGTTGCCGACGCTTGTACCGTACACATCGGATTAATGCGCAGGTACTTCGAATCGCTTCTTTTATTACTTTCGCGCTTCGCAGATCGTAATTTTCAGTAAAATCATTTAACGCGGTAGTTTTGTGGATTATTCACAGATTTTCTCGGGAAACTTATACGCGAGCGTAATTTACGATTCACCGATCGATTCGGGGGACAGGAAAATTTTCGTACTGACGTACACCGACGATCGTAAAGTCTGATATGATCAAGCGCCGTCTCTGCTTTCCCAGAAAATTTCAATGTTGCAGCTTAAATATACTTTGTGACACGCAGAATTCCATCTTAAATTTAATTGCTTACCACCGTGGCTGTAAAACATTTTTAAAATTCATCCAACACCAAATGATAAATTATTATTTTTTTTTTTTTCATCCACCCCCGCATCTTAAACACTTTTAATTCAACCACGAATAAGTTTTATCTCGTAAGTATTCGTGAGAATTAAAGCACAACAACAACAGAATGCCTCAATGAAACAAAATAATGTTATTACAGTCATGTTTGCGTAGAAACGATAAAATCGAAAAAGAAAAAAAAAAATAGAAAATACACGCTCAAAGCATTTGAAGAATCGCTTTAGCAAAAAAAAGAAGAAAAAAGAGCACCGAAAGAAGATAAACCACCAAGCCAGCCATGACTTTCACGTACACAGACGAAGCTCGTATTATACCCCATACCTACACGTTTCCGCGGCGCGTACGTGTGTACCCTGCAAAGCAGAGTCAAGCGCGCTAAAAATTCGCTTTCTGATTTCGTGCCCCGATTCACGCATCACGTGTTATTGTGCAGTTTTATTCCGCAATTGCAGCACACGTACGCGCGTACACTTGCGGCGCCTACCTATCTAGTTTCTGCGTGACGCGTCAAAATGAAAATTCTCGCGACGCGACTGGGGCTCGACTGAGGTATGGAAAAGCGAAAGCGCGCGAGACTGTTTTCTCGCGTTTTTGAATTCGCGCGAGAAATTGACAGTATCATTAACCTTTCTTGTTCTTGCTCCAGTGCTCCATCGGTATACAAATGAAATATATGTATAGGCAATGCTCAAGCACAGACACACATAATTATATATTGCACAGCAAAAAATCTCGGTAGTGCAGCGGATGCTCTGTTTATTCTGCGCACAAGCTTGAGCCGCAAGGGGCTGCTGTTTAGCCGAAAAAAAGTGACATTTTCATGTGAGTGTCAATAAAAATTTATCCAATAATATATACATTTTGCAGTATTGATTGTTTAATCATCATATTGGAAAAATCATTTTCATTTATATCAATCAATGAAGCTTAAATGTTGTAACACTACACTCAACTGTAGTGACAAATATTCAGTTCGACATGATAATGGAAGAACGTAAAGATTATATTCAGTAAGTGAACGTGAACATTCTTGTCCATTTCATTCAAAAGGTTGGCAAGAATTTCCCATTGCCTACCATGGTCTTCTTTTTCGTTTGATTCGACAAAGTTATTTCTTGCAAGGTTTGAGTGGCTTTCGATGTAAGCAAGGCAGATCTCCTTTCTGAACGGGCGTTATATTTTTTCTAGCCTTCTCGACTTTCCTACATTTTTAATAATTTAGAACATTTTACATTTATATTTTCAGTAGTACTGAAATATTATGTTGTTACACGGCAAATTTCATCAACTTTTTAAAATTTAATCTTTAATAATTAGATGTAAACATAAAAATTACACTTGCAGACAAGAATTTTTACACTTGTTGGACTTCTTTAATACTTAGCCCATGACTTGAACTGCTCAAATTTTTAAACAATTATTTGATTAAATCAAAAGCTTTTTCACACAAACAAGGATGATGCTTGAGTTTCTGACAAAATGACAAAAGATAACCACCAAAAATTTGCTGACAAACTAAGTTGGATACGTAAATGTTTAAAATATAACGGTAGCAACATGCGAAGTTCGTTTATTTATTGTGACAATAAGTATTTGGCGACACATTACTTGTTGTAAATTCCGGTATGTCGGTATTAACCTAATATTTCAGGATATTGGTTATTGCCAAAAAGGTTGTTGGTGAGCGATCGAGAAGAAATTTTGGGAAAAATTCGAGCTCGAATCTTAAGCTGAACGGAGGAGCGCCAGACGAAATCGATCGTCTATTTATATCCGGTTCGAGGCCTTGCTCGGCTCGTTGGAAGCATCGGCGTGAAATTATTAACGACGCGAGATTCCCATTCACTTGGTCGCCGTATAATGCCAGTACATGGGAAAGACATAAATACCCGATTCGAACGGTGTCACTTGGATTTTGGTATATCACTACTTTTTTCAGGCTCCACGCAGTATAAGCTAATCAGTAGGATATTGGAGTGTTAAGAAAAAATATTTGATCGTTTTAAGTGGCCAAAGTCCCACAGGTGGAAAAATAAATTTTTTCCATTTAAATGATCCCAGAATACCGTCTCTTTCGCGATATCCACATTATTTACTGAGATATAGCGATTTTAGGTTTTTGATTATTTCTTGTTAAAAAAGAACAAGCTTACAGTGTAGCCATAAAAGATTTAAACTCATTACGACAAATCAACAGCAGAGATTAGCAATAATATCATGTATATTCATTAACATTTTTATTTTTAATTCCGTCATTTTCTCTTTTCATACGTATAAAGTAGGTAATACGTGGAGATTCGAGGGTGGGTTTACTAGCGTAAAAACATTGTACATGTGTATCGCTTGTACAGAACTCCGGTTTCACGTTGATGAGAGATTATGCGTAAAAGTCAAGTATAGTTGTAACTATAGTCACTATTCATACATAGCTGTACTTACCTAATTGATATGCATTTTCAGTAAGTAATTTTTTTAAGACTTTCGCTGCGTAAGTGTACCGTGAGTACATAGATACCAATAGACTGTTTGCGTGCTCATATATGTATGTCGACAAAAAGTTCAATTATCTCAAGTCAATAGTATGGTTTAAATAAAAAATTTTATGAGGTAATCTCACTTTTGTCTTTGATGTCCAATTTTTGTTCTTCTTTTTTTATTACTCCAATGGAAAATATTCCAGCTAAATCGGTATATCTATAAGTACGTATACTTGGCAAATGGAGTCATAAATTATCCGTTCTAATGGTTAGTTTAATCAGCAATGGCCAACAAAGACACTTTCCAGAGGAGCTTACTTAACCGTGAATATTTTAAGAATCACAGTGTACCGTTAGAATTCTTTGATTC